ACCTGTAATGTTAGCGTAAGAGAAAGATAAATAAATAAATAAAAAAAAATAAATAAATATATACTTGTATTTATTTATATATTTATTGCATACGTAAGCAAATTAGAATTGAAATAGTCACATTAATTAAACTCTTCTTCCCATTCGTAAGGTAGATTCCCCTGAGAAGAATGAGTAAGAAACTGTACGAATTGCTCTTTGTAAATAAATAGATTAATTTTACAACTCCAAGGGCTTAACTCCGAAGTGCAAAACAAGTTTACAAAAGTTCGAATTCCTAAGTTGGATAATATTAAAAAAGTTTATTATAATACTAAAATGGCAGAAATATTTTTGGGCCTAATTCACCTAAGGACCTATTTAGGAAACGAACTTTTCTATTTTTATCTCATTTATGCAACGAACTTTTCTATTTTTATATAATTTAAGCAACGAACTTTTATATTTTTATCTAATTTAGGCAACGAACTCTCATATTTCTTTATCATTTAAGGAAAAAACATCTTAATTGGTCTTATAAGGAATTGGTTCCAAAAAGTTTATTTACCCTGGCCACGTCGCTGTCCATCATGTCCTGGTTCCTCAGCCGCGCGTACTCGTCGGCAATGGCGTCTGATGCCTCCTGAGTAAGCTTGGGCTTCATCAGTCTCGCGATGTGGATGTACTTGCGCATGAATTTTGTGGTGAGAATCTGATCCTTCTTGCTGCGAGTGTTGCCATGCAAAAGGGGGTCATACTTCTCGTAAATTGTGTCTCTTGCCTCCTACAAGTAAAACAAAGTGTTACAAACGACGAAACGCTTTATACCCGACTGAAACTCCTTTTATTGGACAATAAAATTCTACGTTCTAAATTCTACTTTCTTTATGACAGTTGCAGTGCCACGCAGAGCTTTAAACCGCAAAGATCTGAGGAACACTGCCAGTGTCCCCGTCACCCAGAGACGTAAGTTGACAAGTCCCATGTGCCTGTAATTTCACCAGCACCCTTACCCTTCAAAACCGGAACACAGTAATGCAAACATAGTCCTGCAAAGTTGTTGGAACCAGCCGTCTTGTCGTTGAGCTATCACCGCTTTTAAATCGCTACTCTGTAAACAGAATGGAGTAAGGCAATTTACCTCATTTTCATCATTATCAGGATTCTCTGTAGAGAGCATTTCCACTGAAGATCCCATTGGTAACACTTCACCGTCTTGCTCCTTGGGGTTTCTGAAAAACGAAATTGAGTTATAAATCGACGTGGAAAATTGTTAGGTTTCGTTTTTTTATAAAGCCCGGAACTAGGGAAACCCTGTATCGCGGGTGCCGTAGACACACATAAACAACCACAAATTACACCCAAACTAACGAGAGAAATAAATGTAGACCTTACAAATATTTCTCCCGGCCCGGGAATCGAACCGAGGACCTCTGCGTGGCAGTCCCGCATGGGAACCGTTCGGCCACGGAGGCAGTTTATATATGTTCAATCTCACAAATCACAATGCACATAACGGTTAAATTAAAAGCATCGAGTATATAACCAGAAATAGAGACAAAATTAGGGCTGGCAGGAATATCCATTCCTGGCAACTCATCAGGTAAATGGCCCTTATATGACTTTTAAATATCAACACTCGACGTCATAAATTAAATTAGCATTCAAATATAAAAAATCGCTTTGAAATCAGTCTATCTGTTTGGGAGCTACTTGAGTACCAGTTTGTAAGAAAGTTACAAGGACATGAAAGTCTAGTATGGCGTTGTGGTTTACCTGTAGCGATGCATCCTGAGCACGTGTTCGGAGATCATATTGTCGTGGTCTGCGTCGGCGATGTCCAGCATCACGAATAACAGGTCGAAACGTGATAGAAGAGAGTCTTGAAGACCAATGTTCTCCATCGGCGTTTTGTATTGGTCATACTGTAACAGGATTTAACGGAATAAAGTGACAGAGGGAGAGGTCCTACATCTTTTTTTTATAATATCAAGTGACGGGACGTAAGCTACACGCCTGTCCATAACAGTTGCAGTGCCACTGAGAGATGCTGCCACTGCGCCCGTCACCGTCAGACATAAGTTGACAAGTCCCATGTGCCTGTAATTTCAGCAGCACCCTTACCCTACAAAACCGGAACACAGTATCACTGACATTACTGCTTGGAGGCTGAAATAGGTAACGTGGCAGTGCTACCCTGGACGAACTCTTCCATAAGGAGCTCTACTACATCATAACCAGCTGCATCATGATGGAGAGCATTACTTACAAAATATTTTATTGACATCTTTGATCTGGGAACATGCACCTCCTACTCTTTAATAAACTGACTGATGCAGATTACACCTGCTAACAGATAGACTGCTAACCACTCTCCCAACTGAGCTAGTTTATAAATAATTTTTTATTTTATAATTTCAGCTAATAAAGGACTTGATTAAAATATCGTCGGGGATAGTGCAAATCCGTGCATGAAGCATTGGGAAAAGGCGCGTATCTGTTGTACTTCGTTATATCAATGGCTACTACTTTCATTTTTGTAGAGTAAGCATTAATTTGTTGCCTTTGGACTGATAACAATAGGATTCCAATCAATCACATTACAAGGATTTGATTTGGCACAAAATTGCCAAAATGGAAACTCATAATCCAAATCTATATAGTTACGCGTAATTGCACTATCCCCGACGATATCATGTTTTGACTATCTGAATGCCTCGAAAGTCTCGATTTTTCCCAGGATTTTCGACACTGAAAGCCCCCTAGTGCTCCGTAATATGTATGCAAGTGGCATGAATTACAAATACACTTACCCTGCCGTAAACAGGATTAGCAGCAGCCAACACAGAGCATCTGGCATTCAAAGTAGCGTGTACGCCAGCTTTAGCTATGGTGACACGTCCTTGCTCCATAACCTCGTGGATGGCTGTGCGGTCGATGTCAGACATTTTGTCGAATTCATCTATGCATACAACTCCGCGGTCTGCTAGCACCATTGCACCTGCTTCTAGTCTGAAAATGTAAATTTATGATCTATGAGGAATTTTCCAACCCACATTGAGTTGAGTTTCGCGGGGCTTTTCCTAAGCGGAAATGTTTGTTCCACAACCATGCTCGTCTGCAACGCAGAGGTCTCTGGTTTGGACCAAGAGAAATATTGGTATGGCCTATACTTATTTCTCTCGTGAGTTTGGGTGTAATTTGTGTGTCCATGACACCCGCAATACAGGGTTTCCCTAGTGCGGGGTTATGAGTGTGTGCGTTTCTAGCTAAGGCTGGCAACCAGTACGGCAATTTTGACCAGGGTTTGGAATAACGGTATTTTCAGGAACCGATGCCGTCAATTTACGGCATACTTACTACGGTATCAGTACTTGAGACACTACCGGTATAAATTATACTTGTATTTTCAAGAAATAGTGACACTGACCATATGGTATCGGTATCAATTATCTGGTATTATAAAGGTTTTTGTAACAACCGTTTATCGATGTATTATTCCGGAACTAATTAAACTAATTAATGATAATAAATGTGCATTTCTTCTGTTATATGTATATTCATATAATAAATGGATTTTAATAATTAACATTTACAGTCGCAGGTGAACGCAGCAAACTGCCTACAACACAGGCCGCGGGAACTGCTATAGAGTACCGGTACCTTTAGGTAAATAATATTCTTCCATTGGTACCGGTATTCAGGTATCGAAAAATACTAAATATTTTAACCAAGCCCTGATTTCGACTTTGTTTAAATTACCTAAAAATTAGCGTGCTTTGCGACCACTCTCAATAATCCATTACAATATTCCCGTAATTATACTGTCAATATTATTTTAAGTACCTTCTGTCGCCAGTTTCAGGGTCTGTAGTAACAGCGGCAGTAAGACCGACGCCTGACGACCCTCGTCCAGTGGTAGTGATAGCTCGCGGCGCTGTTTGTAGTACGTAGCGCAGGAGTTGCGATTTTGCCACCGATGGGTCGCCAATTAGAAGAATATTGATGTCACTACATATTTTGAAATAATTGAAATTTGGTATAAAACACAAACAATAGTGGGCCTAGGGAAGTGCCTTGAAGAACAACCTACGTCAGTAAAGTGTATTACAAAAAACTACCTATTTCTGTAAAAAATATATTACTATCATGTAAATCGACAAATGACCAAAGGATACTTACATTTTAATTATGTTATTCAAGATATTTCGTAAAAAAAAATGTGATCTACTCTGTCAAAAGCGTGACAAACTTCACACGTAACAAAAGATATTTGTTTTAAAGGTGTCAAAAACACATTTCAATTTACCCTCTAAGTCGTGTGCCATTAGGCAATATCTTCTCCATGCCACCCAATAGTAAACACAAAATCGCCTTTTTGATGTAATCATGTCCATGTATGGATGGTGCTAGTGATTTTGCGAGTAATTCGAACATGTCGACGGTAGTGCGTCTGGCGAGACGTTTGCACAGCTTTACTTCTTCCAATGTGATATTCAGGTTCATGTCCTTATTGATTTGGGTGATATTGTTTGCTATAAGTACTGTTCTGAAAAACGCACATTAAACTTGGATGAAATCTAATTGAATTTTTTGATTGCATTTGAAAAAAACTTACTATTTATTTTATATTTGTCCTCTGGTTTAAAAAGTTGTAACAATAAATAAGTACTTCGCCATCTTTCAGAACACGAATTTATGTTACTAACCTTGTATGAAAAGTTGCGGCTGACCATTTTAAATGGTAAGCATAGCCATAGACACAGTATCTAATACACTTTTGAGTTTTCAAAATGTCTCACCTGAATGTTCCAGCAGTGAAACTGCCTTGCTTTGAAGGCAGACATCTATAGTTCCCCACAATCTGTACTCTATCACCTGGCTTACACTTATCTACTAGATCGTCGTCACAGACCACATCTACGCTTCTGGGCAGCTGACCAGCTGGGGCTCGCTCTGGCATCTCCTGAACTGTCAGGGTCTGGTGATCTTTGTAGCGAGAGAGACCATATTCTGTTTCTAAGGGATTGCCTTCATCATCCTGACAGAGAAATTGAATTTTAGGATGTTGTATGCTTAATAATATACGTATGCGTCATGGGATCTATATCATTTTGTAGTTTTTAATTTGAACATTGAGTAAAGAAATAGTTAATTTTGTATTGAGTAGCAGGAGAATAATCTTACTGACTAAGCCAACAATGTTTGAAGATAACACTAACTCTAGATAATAATAATAATCTTATTTTATAGACTAGCTTATTATTGATTTCGATATACTTTCAAATCTAAATGTTACCTTAGTAGGATAAATAGCGGAAGTAGGAAACGCTTCAAAAGATGTTAAGTCCGTGTACTTCCTCTCCATGACTTTCTTAGTGGCAGGGCAGTAGTGTACACTGCGCACCACTTTAGGTCTCACTAAGGAGACCCTAGTCACTATTCCTTCTACACATATTAGGTTACCAAGATATCTGTAAAGATAAGAGCCATTTAGGCTTTTGGTTGCATTTAATTTAGAAGAATGTTTTAAAAAAAACCACATTAAGTTATTTGCATTTGTGTTCATTATTATACTGCCCTCGGAATGAAAAAAGGCACAACTGCTGTATAAAGTACGCATAGTTGTGCCTTTTTTCGTTACATGGGCAGTATAGAAGTAACGACATAATATACCACACAACCACACCAATTACCTGGTCTGAAATTAGGTTATCCCCTGTACTAGGAGTACTATAGCAACAGAATTTACTCTGGGCCACTAACGATGGGGTCTACTCCCATTCTCCATCCGACATCTGTCTGAAACAATTACTACTGTGAAATACTCAACCAAATCAAAGACAATGTCAACCATGAAGCTTCATTCTCATCATGCATCTTTTATTTTAGTTGAGTGTTAGAATTGAGAACGGAAGTAGACCCCCAGAACATCCAGACCAGAACCAATTTAGAAAAGTCCATAACCCAAATTGGTCCTACTGGGAATTGGACCGGGACCTCTTTGTCCAATGTGCAGTGCTATCCATTGGGCCACCATGGTCGTCATGAAATTCAAGGCGTGAGCAAACAACACATTACGAGTGGCATCCAAGTAGTCATCTGAGTGGACTTGATCCAAGCGTACTCATATAGCAAAACCCCTGCTTTACAATTGTAAATTTGGCTCCTAAATTTCATCTATGTACAAGTAGCCTAATACAATAGTAGATAAATTAAAAAGTAGAATAAAATAATAAATAGAATAAATAAATAATAAAAATAATAAACTTTACATAAAAAATAAAAAGTAGAATAAAATAATAAATAGAATATAAAAACTTACTGTATTTAGCAACAAGCTGGTAATTATATTCAAATGTCCATTATCATTTCATATTTTTTAGTAGCAGTAGAGCTCCTTGTGCAAGAGTTCATCCAGGGTAGTACTGCCACCTTACCTACTTCTGCCGCCATGCAGTGAGCATTACTGTGATTCGGTTTTAAGATAAATTTGTTTCAATATAAAAATAAGTTTTGAAGGGTAAGGGTGCTGGTGAAATTACAGGCACATGGGACTTGTCAACTTACGTCTCAGGGTGACAGGCGCAGTGGCAGTGCCCCTCAGATCCTTGCAATGTAAAACTCTGAGTGGCATAGTAATTGTTATGAACTAGCGTGTAGCTTACCATCAGGCGGACAACTAGTTCATCCCCTCACTTTATGTTATAAAAAAAATTTAAAAAATAATCAATGTAAAGTATTTCATTATTTTCACTAAAAGGTGTGAAGATGTTAAACACATCTAGTCTATAAATTTTTCTATTGAAAAAATCACCTTGAAGTCAAGCTCCTTGGAGTAACATGTTTGTTTCCAAAACTACCAGAGAATGCCACAAAGAACTCTTCCTGCTCCTTCGCGTAAGTAGGGTCAATAGACGACACGTAGTCTTTTAAAGCCTTTTGAAATGCGATTTGTTCCTCAAACGCGTTTTCAAGAAGGTTTTTAGCTCTCTCCGGGCTCTTCCTTCTGAGGTCGTTGACACTGACGATCAACCGCTGCGATTTATCAGCTATCATTTGCTTCACCTTCTCCATATAAATCCCTTGGTCCTCCTACAATGATTCAAGAACTCATGACATAGTAAAATTAAGGCCAGAAACAATGAATAGGTGCAAAAGGTTATGAACACTCACCTCATCATCGAGAAATTCAAGGTATTCCCTCTGTAAATCTCTGAGACGTTGATCAAACTCACCATCTTCCATTTTATTAGTGCAATATTCGCAAAAAACTTAATTAAATCAATGCAAAACGTAAAAAACTTGAAAACAAAACACCAAGCCGCAACTCTTGACAGTTACCTAGTTTTGGCGCCAAGTTTTATTTTTTTAATTTTTTTTTTCCCATTTGTTCCGTATGAAACAGGCGAAGGTCAGAGACCATACTGCCTCATGCCGATGGATGAGTTAATTGAAATATACGGTGTAGTCCTCGGTACCTCGATCTATTCCTAGGATGGAAAAAATATTCAGGCTCTTCTTGTAAATAGGGTTTTTTATTTGTGGCTTTGCTTTGACAGTAGATATGAGCGCCGCGTCGGCGCGCCACCGCCGCCGCGTTTTTCCTCGCGCCACCGCTGCGCCGCCGCGTTTTTCCTCGCGCCGCCGCCGCTTTCGATTCGATCAGGCGCTCCGATCGTACGCACGCGCACTCATCCGTATTGTGTATGTGAAAATGGTGACACCAAAAAATGACTTTTCCAAGATAAAACTTTTTTTTTATATAAAATGTAAGTTCACATTTGACCTCCATCTTTATTTTTTTTTCCATCCTCTAAGTCTCCATCTCACCTGATGGAAAGTGACGATGACGTCGACGATGGAACATGCACACCTAAATAATGCCCATTCACTTTCGCCTTGAAAAGGCCCAAGTTATAACGGTCTAGGAACAAGTCTGCAGGCAGGGAATTTCACTCCACCGCCGTTTGCCACATAAATGTGGAAGCGCAACGCTTCGTGCAAATCTTTGGAATATCCACAACATAGAGGTGGAACCCAAGCCTACGCCTAGTCCCGCAGTGATGGAAAAATGAAAGCGAAATTGAATCATGTAATTTTATCGCACACTCTCCGTGATATATCCTGTAAAAAAATAATATATAACGATAAGCTGGCAACTTTACGTCTGTGTTCAAGGCTCTACAGCTTCGCCTCCACTAATTCCGAGTCACCTATAAGCTTCTTGCCACGGTTACCAATTGAATCCAAGGTGGCCAGTTGGTATGTAGCAGAGCCATCTTAAAGGTGGCAGCAGTATTCCATGCACAACCGGACTTGTGCTTGGTACAGCTCAAAGTCAAAGATCATTATTTTATTCCATAGGTAAAATAAATTTACACTTGAAAACGTCACAATTAAGCTACTGCTCGTTCACTACGCTGACCTCCCTGAAAAGAACGAGCAAGAATTTCTAGGGATTACTCTTTTAAAATAAACTTAAATGCTATGGAATACACTTTGAATCAAATTTGTATGGATTCTGGAGCCGTGTCGTCTTTCCATACATCTTTATCTAACACGTAGTCTTCAATTTTGTAACATGACTCTTCAATCAAATTATTTTTTAATGTACTTTTTAAACTTAGGAAATGATAATCTTAATATATGCTCCGGAATCTTATTGTAAAAACGTATACAGTTCCCCATAAAAGAGTTGTTTACCTTGGTTAAACGAAATCGTGGTACCATGAGTTTGGACTTAGCTCTAATTATGGACATCTTCTTTCTTAATGAAATTATGTATGTTTTTACGGGCATATAAAATATTTGAGTAAATGTACTGTGGTGCCACGGTTATGATACCAGTCTCCAAAAACTTTTCTCTGAGAGGAACCCGAAAGCCTAGATGGTACACAGAACGAATCGCTGGTTTTTCCAATACAAACATGTTTGAATTTTTGAATTTGATTAGATTTGAATGTCTGCCGCTTTACCCCACATGAGAATCCCATAGGACATTATATTATTACTGTGGAAGTAACTAAAGTAAACCAGTCTTGCAGTACTAACATCGGTAAGCTCACGTATTCTGCGGACTGCGTATGCAGCAGAGCTTAATCTGTTGGCCAGGGAAGATATATGTGGAAACCATTGAAGTTTACTATCTAAGGTCACTCCCAAGAAGACTGCTTTATTAACAAGGTCAAACTTTTCTCCGTTTATTTCTATGCTTGGACTTATCGATTTTACGTTAGGTAATTCAAATTTAGCACATTTTGTCTTGTTGGCATTAAGCAAGAAATTGTTAGCATTAAACCAATATACTACCTTAGAGAGGGTATCATTAACATGGTCATAGTTAATGTCATGTCTGTCTGTTTTAAAAATCAAGGATGTGCCGTCAGCAAACAACACTATTTCGCAAGTTGATATGCCCCAGAGATCTTCACTTTTTTTAACATATATTAATTTAAAAGTGTTTACGATGTCTGCGGATTAGCATGACGCCTATAGTATATTCATCTCTATTTCTCCCATTCTATATACATACATATATTCTGTATACATATATTCTATATCACACATTATTATCGCACAAATTTGTGTTATGCAAATACGGAATCGAACGTCGACGCGCGCCGCCGAGCATTACTTGGGCGCAATGAGGCATCAGACGCCGACCACACTGTGATCCACAAATCAGAAAGATTTAGTAGCTGTGATCTCGGCGCACTAATGCGAGTATCGTCGCGCGTTGACGTGCGTCTCCAGGCGGTGTGCTTGAAAAACAGGACGCGATGCGACGCGACGCAACGCTTCGACTCTGCGCCAGTGTGAGTTGAGCCTAAGGTATACAGTCTCAAATTCTAGAAAATCTTTATCAAAAAACGAAAAATCTTTTGACGTTTATAGGTTAAAACGATATTAATTGTCTATGGTAATTGTTGTGTTTATGTGTTGGTTGTCGGTGTTTGTATCACTTCGTTATTTGTTTTCAACTGAGTACTCCCGTAGTCCAACTTACCAACACCGGTTAATGTCCTATTAGAGCTTAGCGAAAATTTTTTTTTTGTTTCGTTTTTTTTTCTTTCAACTGTGACATTGGCAAAATCATCAGTTCTCATATTGATGGAGCCATAAAAATAAAAAGTGAAGTGAAGTTATTTGTTTTGTATTAAAAAACAATATTATTGCTATAACTGGTGAAGAAAAACTTACTCACAATTAGATTTTTACAGCTCAACGTTTTACGCATCCAAACATTTTCTTTACCGCGTAAATACGGGAGTATTCAGGTTATGTCGGAACACAATTCAAATTCTAACCAATCCGTCCCGGAAAATAACAAAGAGAAGGATCCAAAGCGTCCAAAGTTGAAGATTCTCGCATTTCACGGGTACCGACAGAATGGCGCAGTGTTTCGGTCGAAGATAGGGTCGTTCCGCAAAGCTGTGTCGAAGTACGCGCAGATAACTTTTTTTTCTGCTCCTCATAGGGTTTATAATGAAGACGGAGGGGGAGAAGAAGGTAAAGAAATGATTTTTTTTACTGCAGATACAAAGTTCATGTTCTTAATTTATTAGCATAAGAAACCATAGAAACATCTACCTCTAATTTATTGGTGGTGTTATTGACACTTTTTCTTCAAGGCTGTCAAGAAGTTACTGCTGAAACTCTCTCTGAGTGTGCCACTCAGCTTTATTCATTCCATGGGTAAAATTTTTGACTTAGGAAATGATAATCTTAATATATATTCTACTGAATCTTATTGTAAAAATGTATAAGGTTCCCCATAAAAGAATCGGTTACCTTAGTTAAACGACACCGTGGTACCATGAGTTTGGACTTTTCTAACGTTAATGTTATGGATATCTTCTTTCTTAATGAAATTATGTATATTTTTATGGGCATACAATATATTTGAGGAAATGTACTGTGATGCTACAGTCATGATACCAGTATCCTTAAACTTTTCTCTGAGCCTAAACAAACACAGAATGTATTGCTTGTTTTTGCAACACAAATATGGTTTTTATATCTGCCATTTTACCCCACATGAGTCTTGATATTTGGTGCAACGGGCTGGTATCCGCAACTCGACGACAAAGCGCCTATTTTGCGTGTGTCATGAGTCACGGTTAGAAACTTTCCAAAACTCTATTACAAAGATATGAAACGTTCTGAACCTGCTTGATAAACCTTGTGGACTATATAGATCCTTCCACCCTGCTAAGTTAGCTACAACAAAATATTTTTACAAATGTAGTCAGCAATTTGATAATTATTAAAAATATACATAATTAATGATATTCTTGACTGACTGTAACCATCTATGATCTACAGGTATTAAATCAAAGTATCATTCAAATATTATCACTCTGCAAAATGAAAAAAATCCAAGTAAAAGTCTATCAAACCTGGTAGCTAAGAAACTACAGTGGAATGCATTAAACTCAACTTGGATATGGAAAGAATGAGTTTAGATTAAGTTGCTAGCAGCCATAAGGAAATTCTTTGCCAAGAAAGAAGCATTATCTCAATAGAGCCAGGTCTGTTTTAATGTAATCTAAATACATACATTGTTTTTTGTTGTTTCTTAATCCTGGTGAAGGATTTCCAAAGTTGCCAGGTTACTGTATCTAGGTAGAGTTGTTTAATCTACTTTAGAATGCAGTGTAATGATCAATAGACGACCAAATACTACTGTATGCCATATACTATTTTAATGTACTCAAGAGAAATAGATAGGTTAATTAGAAAACAACATTTATTTTTTTTACTTTCCTTGATGACACGTGGCATATTTTTATTTTGATTTTAATTACTATACAGTACTTCTATTTTCTCATTGTCTCTCAGCAAACTTTGTGTTTCAGCTGTCATCGGGTTTTATTCAGTTGCCCTTTGCCTTTGGTACAGACCAGATGCTGTCAGTTGACTTCGAAGTATATAGAGTTGCTATAATTTTTTTTTATTAATTATACAATGGGATGAAAGCCGTAAAGGTCACAGGCACAACAGATAATTTACAGTGTGTACTTATATTTTTTACAACAAGCTGATACATAAAGAATAGAATAGAATAGAATATCATTTATTTCTTGTAAATATGGTAAGTACAATATAAATTAGATGTTACAAATTGAAATAGAGTTCAGCATATTTTGCCAACAAGCGGCATAGAAATATTTCAATAGTCATAATAATTGTGATGAAACATGTCAAATATAAAACTTATCAAAAATACAATTAAATGTCAGAAATTAATAAAAAAAATAAATTATAATATTAAAATTAAATTGTCACAAGTTATCATGCAGGAAATCACTGACATTGTAATAACATTTTTCAATCATGACCATGGGACCTGTAAAGGGCCCGAAACGTCGGTTTGTTTGAAAAAACAAATATACGCGATTTAAATCCGGAAAAATAGTTTCATTTCCTATGTGTAACAATCGCGAAAACGTAAGAAGCTGATACATTCAATAAAGAAAACAAGGGTTATTTTCAAAAAGTCCAAAAACGTGTTTCTTTAGCTTGTAGTGTTTCAATCAGAACAGTAAAGAATAAAAAAGATATTTTAGTTCCTTTTGAACCATTGTTGCAATTGGACAACTACAATTGGACAATTTTATAATAAATACCTGTTCGAGCAGCACGGAAAGTGATTATTTCATTAATAGTGAACATATTAACATAGCAGATGAATGTGTTGAGATACGGACTGAATTGAAATGATTAATAACCGAAAAAATATTTATTTTTAGCTACATTAAGGAAGCACACTTTATTCACAAAAATACAAAAATATTTTTGTTAACTTGCATAATGACATGGAGTAAATGTTATTAAAAATAGGGAAATAGTTTTACAGCTCTGTACAGTTCACACGGAAATAAAAGCAAAACAATGATAAAGTATGTTGTTCAAAATTCAAATGATTATAGATTTTAAATCAAATAATTAATGGGTACGGAAATTAATATTCGTGTGCATTCGGAAATCTGATCATAGATATGATATGACATTGAGAAAATAGAAACACTAATAATATATCGTCAGCTTAGTGCAAGAAATCATTAATTGCCTCATAAATTATATGGCAATAATGACTTCTTGCAAATAAGCCGACGATATGATCTTAGGGCGCATTCAAATTAGACGCTTATAGAAGCGCTGCTACTAATTTTCGTACATTATTTAGAAGCACAGTTGCAGCGCCACCATTGTGACCCGCGCGCGTCACTTCTGCAGTCACAATTAGTGAACTAAAGCTACTAAAGCGTTTCTACAAGCGTCTGAATTTGAAGGCTTATAGTGTGTAGACAAATAAGCAGCATTCTGACTGTATCACAACTGCTGTCATAAATATTGCAGTTCACATGACTATTGCACCTTAAAGTGGTAAATTAATCTCCTTCCAGATGGCCGATCTTGGTGGTTCAATGCAGAAGACAATACCTTCAGTGGGAAGTGCCTCGGAGGGCCAGCTCTCGGGTTCGAGGATACTCTCAAGCTGATTGAAAAGACGGTTGCCGATTATGGACCTTTTGATGGATTTATGGGATTTTCACAGGGTGCTTGTTTGGTTGGATTGTTAGCAGCTATGCAGCAGAAAGGATGTAAGTTATTTATTTATTTTATCTTTAATTCAGACAACAGAGTCCATACATTTTCGTTAGTTACAGTTTTCTTAAAGGCTATGTTAGTAAAAAGAAAAAACGTTGCTATTAGATGATTGATGTTATTATTACATTATTATTAGGATGGCTTCATTCGGGGCATATGTAGCCCCTCATCACTGCGACCATCAGCTGATCTATTGTGATCACGACTAATTACAGTTCGGAGCCAAAGCCGACAGCATTGAAGAACTGAAGGACTTTCCTGGCTCCGACAGATTTAATGTCCTCTGGTTGTGGCATGTGCCTTCCCAGTAAGGAGCTTCGTACGCCAATCAGGGGGTAACATTGGATTAGAAAATTTTGGGGGTTAAGTAGCTCGCGTCCGTAGGCTGTGTACCCTCGAGACCCTACACGTGACCCCTGGGTGGTGCCAAATAAGCTACAAACTCCGGTGGTAGACCTTGGTCGTGGCTGGTGACCACCCTCTGGGCGAAGCCTAGCCGCCAAACAGCTATAGCTGTGTTCCGGCTTGACGCCCAGAGTAGCCGCTCTAGAGTGAAGGGTCTGTACAGTTGCACTGCACTGATTTGGTTGATCTCGGGGCTCCCTTGTTGTTGCGCTGGGAACCTAGACGCGGAGGGTAGCGGGATCCGAAGCACGGTGCTCCGCTGGCCGACCGCAGGTAGTAGGGGGCCCAATTAGCTGATTAGCCTCCAGTGAAAGGCTGCCCCGCCAACTCGCGAAAAATCCCGGGGTGCTCCATCGTGCCGGTTGGCGACCGGATGAAAGGACCCGATGGCCACTCCCGGGGGGGTTCGGGCGTCCCCGCGCGCTCCAGTCTAGTTTCCCATCGGCGTACCATATAGGGTATGTGCCGCATGACTTTCAGTAGTAATGTCTCGTACAACTGCCTTCGCTCTCCCCATTCACTCTAACCCTAATATGAAAAGGTCAAGAAAATTGAGGAAGGCTAAACAGCGGATGCACGTCCTTTCACTTAAAGTGCACCTCTCGAACATCCGAGGTCTGCACTCCAATCTCTCATCTGTCCACCACCATCTTGAGACTGAAAGGCCTCACATGCTCTTCCTCACGGAGACCCAAATTAGATGTCCTTCGGACACGGCGTATCTGCATTACCCAGGTTACATTCTGGAGCACAAATTTAAGCAGCGCGCTGGTACCTGCGTTTACGCTCGTGTTGACATCTGCTCTAATCGTCTCCGTGACCTTAAAGACCCCGATCTCTCTGTAATGTGGGTTCTGGTAGACACTGGACTGGAACAAATTGTCTACGCCAGTGTGTATCGGTCGCATTCTGGAGACCCGGAGACGACTAGGCTGTTCAACCATCTCTGCAGCTCGGCGGAAACAGTCCAACAACGGTATCCTAAAGCACAACTTGTCTTTTTGGGGGACTTTAATGCCCATCACCAGGAATGGTTGTTCCCATACCAAAAAACCGACCACGCTGGAAGAGAGGCGCGGGCATGTGCTCTATCACTAGACCTCACCCAGCTGGTGAGTTGCGCTACCAGGGTACCGGACGTTGACGACCACACAGCCAATTGCCTGGATCTTCTGCTGACAACCGATCCAGACCGCTACCAAGTATCGGTCTCATCCCCACTAGGGACATCCGATCACTGTCTGGTGAAATCTGTATCTGTCTACTCCCCGCCCGATCTCAGTACGGGAAGTACTAGGAGGATGTGGCGATACAAGTCAGCTGATTGGGATGCGATGCGGCATTTCTTTGCATCTTATCCCTGGCGGCAGCTGTGCTTTCTTCTGACGATCCGACGTGCTGCGCGTCTGCCGTCTCTGAGGTGATTATTCGGGCTATGGAATACTTTATTCCGTATTTCGAAGTCTCCTCCAGCGGCAAAGCTCGCCCTTGGTTTAACGCTGAGTGTGCTTCTGCGGAAACGCTAAAGCAATCTGCGTACCAGGCTTGGGCTGATGCTCGAGATCGCAAAGCACCGGAAACCCTCCGTCTGAAGAAAGCCTTTAATAAAGCCGCTAGATCCTGCAAAAAAGCGATACAGAAAGCTCGCTTCGGCCATATTAGTCGTATTGGGGTCAGGTTAGCTTCATACCCATCAGGGAGTAAAGCATTCTGGTCACTCGCTAAATCGGTCGAAGCGAATTTCTGCAGGTCATCCCTTCCGCCTTTAATGAGAGATGACGGATCGCTGGCTCATACCGCTCAAGAGAAAGCAAATCTTTTTGTTTCTCTTTTTGCTTCCAACTCCCGTCTTGACGCTACTTTGCAAACACCACCTACACTACCTCGATGTGACTCGGAAATGCCCGAAATCACTATCCGTCAAAAAGAGGTGTTGAAAGCTTTACGCAAATTAGACGTCAACAAAGCCAGTGGCCCTGACGGAGTCCCAGCGATTGTCCTGCGGAACTGTGCACCCGAGTTGTCTCCGGTGTTGACTCGCCTGTATCGCCTCTCTATGAGTTCTGGACAAGTCCCGAAATCCTGGAAGCTTGCAAATGCACAGCCTGTACCTAAGAAAGGTAGTCATGCCGACCCATCTAATTATCGACCTATCGCAATCACCTCCATACTCTGTAAGACTATGGAGCGCGTATTGAACAGCCGTCTCCTTGGATACCTCGAAGATAACGATCTCCTCAGTGATCGACAATATGGTTTTCGCCGTGGACGATCTACTGGGGATCTTCTTGCGCCACACATTTATGGAGCGAGGTTGTCGAGAAACGCGGTGAATCGCTTGCCGTGTCTCTCAACATATCAAAGGCCTTTGATAGGGTTTGGCATGATAGCCTGTTAAACAAGCTTCCAGCTTACGGAATTCCTGTTGGCTTTTGCACATGGATTTTCTGAAGGATAGGTCAATCCGTGTAGTTGTAGATGGTTACTCGTCTGCTCCTCATGGTATAAATGCCGGTGTACCTCAGGGATCTGTCCTCTCCGCCACTCTATTCTTGCTGCATATCAACGACCTGCTGCTGATGCCCGGTATCTTTGGGTACGCAGACGACAGCACAGTGGCGGTGAGTTATGTGCCAGACGCCCGAGACAACAGTGAAGAGATCCGGTGTAAGCGAGAGGCGATGGTCACCCGGTTGAACCTGAGTCTGAAAGCTGCTTCCGACTGGGGAGATGCTAACAGAGTCAGGTTTAATGCGGCTAAAACACAGGCGTGTCTTTTCTCATCAAAACGGAGTCCCCTACACCTTACTCCGACTTTCCGAGGTGTATCCGTGCCGATAAGGGACCACCTTGAGCTACTTGGTCTGGACTTATCATCCAACCTCAACTTTGGGCGATACATCGAGTGCTTGGCAAAAACTGCTGCCAGAAAACTAGGCATACTTTTCAAGGTCAGGCGGTACTTCACACCTGAACAGCATTTAAATCTATATAAAGCACAAGTTCGATCCTGTATGGAGTACTGCTGCCACCTTTGGGACGGCTCTGCCCAATACCAGTTAGCTGCCTTGGACTCGGTGGAGCGTAAAGCAAAGAGACTTATTAAAAATAATCCTCTTGTGGAGTCGAAGCTCCAAAATCTCGATCATCGCAGAAAAGTAGCCTGCTTGTCGGTTTTCTATCGGATACATTTCGGGGAGTGTGCGCAGGAACTTTTCAATTTGGTTCCGCCCTCACCGTTCCTCCTTCGGTCGACTAGAAGGTCCGGAGCACTCCATTCTTATGTCGTTGATATTCCACCTATTCGCACTAAGCGCTTTGCTTCCTCCTTTCTGATGCGTACGGCAAAGGAATGGAATGCTCTACCGGCATCTGTATTTCCCGAAAAGTACAATTTGGGGCTATTCAAGGCTAGAGTGAATAGGCATTTTTTAGGCAAACGCGTCCCATCGTCGGTCACATCGTCGCTTAACATCAGGTGAGATTGTGGCCAAGCGTGTGTCTATTATATATATATACAAAAAAAAAGAAGATGAGCAGGAGTTTCGTCCGCCTCGTGGCAGAATCTACACTCTCTGTTCTCTCTCTGCCCAATATTTGACATGTGCTTGTTCAAGCCACAGTGTTCTGTTAAGACTCGCATGAGTATTCTCATGCCATTCCTATCCAATGACAGAGCTTCTCTATAGTGTTTGGCACCGTAGGCAGCGGGCTTTTGATTGCTCAAGACCCTTACTCTGTAGCCACACTTCCCGGGAGACTTGTGTGCTCTCGTTCAGCAGAGAGAGCTTTGCCAGGCTGTATGATATCCCTATAAAGGTTCGGGTCCAATAAAGGCTTCCCTAGCACCAACCTTTGCCAGTTCGTTTGCTGCCTCATTTCCCTCGACGTCAGAGTGACCTGGAACCCAGCGCAGGACCACTTTATTCCTTTCCCCGAGAGCATTCAGTATAGTCATGCAGTTCTCTACAATCCTCGATGTTTAGGCGATTGAGGTTAGTGGATGTAGAGCGGCTTGACTATCTGACTTTATGTAAATATACTTGTTAACATAGCTTCTCTTCAGATATAAATCCGCTCAAGCAATTATGACGTACAATTGGGCTCGAAAGATAGAGGAGTGTCGTCCCAAATTCAGCTTATAGCTGAGCCTGGGTCTCACGGGTTGGGTTGGGTCCCATCTTAGACCTATCAGTATACCAAAGTAGGCTACCATCCTTCCAGGTAAGACTGTTGGTTTTCCAGTCTTCCCTGGTTGGAAATTCTACCTGGTAGAGTTTTTTAAAGTTTTGCTTGGGAAGCATAACATCAGAAGCCATTCCCAGAACAGAAATAATAATAATATCTAAAGTAGTTGATTGGTTTGCTGTTAATAACCTACTTCTTAATGAGAAAAAAACAAATTGTGTGAAATTTACATTACCCAATGTTAGAGAGTCGGTTACAAACATTGTAGTTAGAAACGAAAAATTGAATCTTGTGGATACAGTTGTATTTCTAGGTATAACGTTAGATGCTAAATTGCAATGGGGTCCCCGTATAAGTAAGTTATCAAAACGGCTCGGCTCTGCAGTGTACGCGATTAAAAAAATAAGGAAACTTTCAGACGTCGAAACCGCTAGATTGGTTTACTTCAGCTACTTTCACAGTCTAATGACATACGGCATTTTGCTTTGGGGTAATGCCGCCGATATCAACAGAATCTTTGTCCTGCAGAAACGTGCAGTTAGGGCAATTTACAATCTGGGCCCCAAAGTATCTTTGAGAGATAAGTTTAAGGAAATTAACATTCTTACACTAGCCTCACAGTACATTTATGAGAATGTAATTTATGTTAAAAGGAATAGTAATTTATTTATGAAAAATAGTGACAGACATAACATTAATACGAGGAATAGAAATAAACTAGCTTTTCTTGATAGTCGTCTTCACAAAGTCAAAAAATCATTTAAGGGGCAATGTATACGCTTCTATAACAAGATTCCGGTTGATATACAAAATTTGCCTTACACGAGGTTTAAAACTATAGTGAAACAAAAACTTTATACTAAAGGTTATTATACAACTTCTGCGTACTTGGATGATAAAAATCCGTGGTAGTAACCCGTTTAGCTCATGGAGGTAGTCTCGATCTCTGATGTTTCAAATAATAAAAAAAAATATTGTAAATGTTATTTACAAAGAGCAACCCCTAGAGTTTCTTGCTCATTCTTCTCAGGGGAATCTGCCTTACGAATGAGCGGTAGAGTTTAATATTGTGACGATTTCAAGTGTAATAATGCTTACCTATGAAATAAAGATTATTTTGAATTTGAATTTGAGAATGCTCCAGAATTGAGTCCTGGATTGATCTCAATGTCTGGGAGAGCCGTCTGGTCCTTAACTTGGTGGTGAGCCTGTACATGCTGCAATATATGCAGGGGAGTCAATACATTGTTAATATAATTAAGGCCATTATATATACATATAATGTAATATGAATGCTTTTATAGCAATAGCATAGTTGTACTATGCAGTTCAAATACACTGCCACGGGAGACAGTACGCACATGTCCATTGGCTACAATTGTGTTTGTGAGCTAGTCTCGATATTACTGTACATGTCTAAAGGCAAAAAGCAAATTATTCAGCAAAGGTTGAGCAGAATCTAATGCTTGAATGAACACATATAATAGAGAATTTAGCATATTCGTATTTCAGTTTCAAATACCACATCTTTATGTATCAATGTAACTAATTTTACATTCATTTAGTGTTTCTTGACTTGATAAATACATTTTGTATTTATTTTCTGTCATTCAGATCTACCATACACATTCAAGTTTGCAATCTTTGCGTCGGGCTTCAGATCAGGCAGTCTTGTTCACAAAGGATTCTATGACGAAGACGTTAACTTGCCATCACTACATGTCTATGGAGAAAGTGATTCAATTATACCCAAAGGTAATAACAGGATTTACTAATAGAAAAACGTCCAACAAACTTTCAATAGTACTTAAAAGCTTATTTTATAGTAGTATAGATATAAAGCCTATGTATATATTGATAAAGAGTTCACTCAAATTCAAATTGAAATGGAGAATGGGCAAAATGCAAAGTTCCTAATTCCAGGTCCTAACCTGGAATTGGCCACGTCAAAAACAGTTTTTTTTATTCTTTACATTAAGACAAACAATATTTAGAATGGGGCCAGAGTCATAACTTTTTATGTAAAAGAAATTATGACCAATATGAAATAAAAAATTAACACTTGTCGGATTATTAACAAAAATTCCTTTACCTGCTAGATCACTTACAATCTTTGGTATAATAAAATAAAATAAAGCCTTGTGAACTCATGGCGCCGCGGTCTAAACTGCCCCTCCTCCGTCCCCTCTTATGTGCCTGCCTCTTGTGTGGCCAGAGCATTAATCTTACAGGTCCCAAAAATTTTATTATTATATTTATTTTATTTTATTTAATTCCTTTTTTATTTTTCAAGTATATACGTGAAATAACTCCTCTCAAAAATTACTGGACCGATTTTTTTTATGCCCTGTCAACCTCCGTCTCACCTGATGGAAATTGACGATGAGGTCGACGATAGAGCATGCACACCTAAATAAAACCTATTCACTCTCGCCTTGTGAACGCCCAAGTTATACTGTTCAGGGAACAAGTATGCAGGCAGGCAAATACCGCGAAATTCATGATTTTCATTATAGTACCTTTATTCTACAGTTTATAGAACTCTTTAAAAACTTAAGGTGCTATAGTACTTGCTATATTTGGCCTGTCATCATGTCATAGAAAATATACTCGCCACACAAATAAAATTCCAAGCAGAAATTCATATTAAGTATCAACATTTCGAAACCTTATCGACTTAAGTGTTGGTGCCCATAACGTTTTTGATTGCAATGATGCCATCTATTGATTGAAAGTGGTTTTTGAAGTGTCTTCTTCTCTTCTTTATAATGTTGTAGCTCCATCGATACCATCGAAAATTCTGCCAATGTCGAGTTAAAGCGCTAGACATCATACTCAAGTCCTGACTTGAACATTGAGTAGAGTTCTGGAATACGACCCTTACACAAGTTGTTTTTTTTTACGGCACAACAGAGATCTTTGATTGGAAGAAATGGACAATTCTTTTTTTTATTAAGTTGTATTTTTTTTATTTCCAGAAATGAGTGAATCCCTCATCAATTTATTTATAAACCCAGTAGTGGCTGAACATTCTGGAGGCCATTACGTAGCCTGTTCAGGATCCATCAAAGATGCCTACTTGGACTTTTTACACGATAGATACGAAGATGTCTTAGAAGATAAGGATATAGAAAATTCTCCTGATAAGAGTTCTTAACATATAATTTTACGATTGTATGAAAAATTATATGTGATGCGTGTAAGAGATTGTGTGTTAATAAAATATTTGTTAGATAACCTAATCCTTCATTTTAGCAGTCCTTTATTTTAAATAACATACCGCTTGGATGAATGAATAACTTATTATGTATATTAGCTTTCACAGTGAAACACTATCTTACTTTGGGTTAATTTACAAATCGTCTATGCCACTATACTATAAACTAAAAAAGTTGTTTGTGCTATTGGGAGTAGACCAAAGATGGAAATAATCTCAGTACAGAGTACTAAAAAAACCGACCTCAAAAATACGTGGAATTACATATAGTTTTATTGAAATCGGTTACCGGAAAGTGCGCAAACCCGGATTCATCCCCTAGTTCGCCACTATACGGGACTTGACACAGGAGATAATAAAAATCGGTTTTCACTACTCAAAAGTATATTGAGAGAAAAACGCCTTGAATTAAAGAATAGCAAAATCAACCATTAAAATAATTGCTCATTCGCTCAATCCGCCATTTTCGCTTTGCACGATGAGAACATGCCAATTTATCTCGCTCAAAATTTCGAAAATCGTAGAAAAAGTAAAATCTTCCATTTATTCTTTTTCTCTTCTACAATAGTTGTTTTTTAATTGCGTCAAGTTTTTTTATAAGGAATAAATTTTGTAATAGTAGGTAAACTTCTGTAGTACTTAAGGGATTCATTAGATTTAATTACACTTTCCTTGCATTTGTCGTTCCACCAAGGTATGGGAGGTCTACTTTTATATTCTGTAGTTTTAGAAAATTCGGAAATGCACTGAGATTTCAGTGTGCAAAGAACTTCGCAAAAATTTTCATATGAGTTAAGGGGATCAATAGGATCAGGGACCACTTTATCAAAATATGTTTTAGAAATCATTGTAGTAGATGATCTATTGAAAAATGGTATTATACGAGAGAGTAAGTCTAGTTATGCGAGTCCGATTTTGTTAGTAGATAAACCTGACGGTACAAAGAGACTGTCGGGCATTAAATATAGTCACTGTGAAAGAAAAATATCCGATGCCATTAGTCGACGATTTGATTGACCTATTGCATGGTTGCAAATATTTTACGTCGCTTGATTTAAAAAGTGGTTATTACCAAATTAAAATAAATCAGTCTTCCATACCCCAAACAGCGATCATAACTCAGGATGGACACTGTGAGTTTGTTAGAATGCCCTTTGGCCTGTGCAATGGACCCGCAGTGTTTCAAAGACTTATGAATACGGTGTTGGGTAGACTTTGGTTTGACAAAGTAATATGTTATATGGACGACGTTTTAATTGTTACAAAGACTTTGGAAGAAAATGTCGATTGTTTGTGGCAGTTCTAGATTTATTTCAAACAAATGGACTCACTATAAATTTTGATAAATGTTTTTTTAAACTTTTATTGAATTGATATTCAATTATTTTTTGTGAAATTACTCCACTAGTTTGTTATAATATTATTAATTCTATATATATTTTATTAACACAAAGATCGAATGAACCTAATGATCCCCTTAACTCATATGAAAATTTTTGAGAAGTTCTTTGCACACTTTGACAAATTAATTTATAACAGAGCTGATTGGTCCAAATATGATGAGTCATATTTGGACCAATCAACTCTGTTATAAATTAATTTGTCAATAGGAGGGTTAATATTATGTCGATCGTAATGGTAATTTCTGTTAAAGTTGGAAAATGATAACTACCCACATTATTATCATGGACTGACCATTTGCAAAGAGGGGTAATACATGGGCTAGCGACAGAAATATCAATAGCCGACGGGTTACGGTTCGGATAATTTATAGTAGTAACATCTTCGTTCAATATACATAAATCTAAGTCATCTAGAATCGAATACAACTGTTCACCGCAACGTTTAGTGACGAGCATCCGAAAGCAATATGATGAGCATTAAGATCTACCGCCATAAAAATGGACGAGGGTAGATTTTGTATAATATTCCTTAACTTATTTATTATTATTTCACCTGAGGGTGGACAATAGATACAGAGGATGGATATACTACCGGACGGGGTAGTTAGAGACAACGCTATAGTTTGTATATCTTCATAGAAAATGGTTGGCAACAAATTATATTTAAAATATGGTTTTATAAGTCCGCTCCGAAGTGAAATACTTGCCATCTAAGTTGACTTTGCCATCTAAGTGACTACGGAACTGAACGTCACAAGAGATGTCTACACCAAGGATCCCGATGCGCCTAGCGCCTCCGAGAATAGTGTTCTATGGCGCCTTCCATGTTGTATGCTCTAAGATGCTCTTGTATGCTCTGTAATAAGCAACTGACGCCTTCTCTCACAAACTTAATTAATCTGTCGATTGAAAAAGGCATATTTCCCGAATTGTTAAAAATTTCTTTAGTGAAACCAATCTATAAAAAAGGCGCAAGAGCATGCATTGAAAATTATCGACCTATAACTTTAATCCCCGTGCTGTCCAAAATATTTGAGAAATGCATGAAGAAGAGGCTGCTAAGTTTTATTAATAAGCACAATATAATCAAACAAGAGCAATGCGGGTTTCTATCGAAAAAATCTACTACACTGGCTGCATTTCATCTTGTACGTCAGATAGTGGAGAACACTAATGCAAAAATACCTACAACGGTGATATTTTTTGACATGACTCGCGCGTTTGACTTTGTATCTCATGACATTTTGCTGAAAAAACTAAATAATTTAGGTATTAGAGGCGTGACTCTTAACTGGTTAGCTTCCTATTTGGAAAATAGGAAGCAAGCTGTAGATATAAAACATTTAAATAAAAACGTCTGTGTTGTATCAGCAAGATCGCAATATAGAGTCAATGCGTGTCGTGTCCCGCAAGGTAGTGTTCTCGGGCCATTATTATTCTTGCTCTACATAAATGACCTACCAGAGGTTACACGACACAAATGCATATTATTTGCAGATGATATTTCAGTCGTAATTCCGTACAAAAATGACATAATTAACTACGAATTAGACATAAACAATTCAGTACATGTAATAATAAATTGGCTTAAACTTAATAATTTGACTGTTAACTTGACTAAAACTAAATTCATTCAATTTAGTACAAATCGACAAACAAAAATGAACCTTAACATAAATTACAAGGATGTCAATATTCAGGAGGCAGACTCTACAACATTCTTAGGCGTGAAAATAGACAGTAGTTGCAACTGGTCACAACACGTCGAGTCACTGGTACATAAATTACATCGATACGTATACGTCTTAAGGAGGCTGCGAAATATATCATTACCATCTACAGTTTTGACTGCTTATCATGGTTACGTTGCGTCTCTGTTTAGATATGGACTCTTGTTGGGGTAACTCAACTGAGTGTAAAAAATTGTTCACAGCTCAAAAAAAGTATGTTCGAGCAATGACCGGTGTTTCCCCACGGGAATCTTGTGCACCTTTGTTTAAAGAATTGGGAATTTTGCCGTTACCGTGTATGTACATTTTTGAAGTGGCATGGTTTGTTAAGCAAAATCTAAACCTTTTTAAAAAAATTACAGATGTACATAGTAGAGGTGTAAGGGACCCAAATAGACTGGTGTATAATAATAAACCTAGATTGTGTTATTACAAAAATCAATGTAACGGTATGTGTGTCCGAATTTATAATGCTCTACCAAAAGACATTCAAACGTTACCAAATAATTTGTTCAGAAACAGACTTAGTGAATGGCTTAGAGACAAAAATTATTACAAAGTGACTGATTTTTTAGATAAATGTTGACATGAAATTAGTGCTAAATGTATATACATGTACAATGTAATTAATGATGTATAAATATTTTATAGTTTGACATAGAAGGTTATTATTTTGTTGTTTTTAATTGACTGATTATTCTTTGTTTCTTATTGGATGTCGACATGAAATTATAAGGTATATTTATGTTTAATGTAATCATGATGTATGATATTTAATAATTTGACATTGATAGTTTATTATTCTGTTGTTATTAATTAATTAATTGATTATTATTATTATTATTCCTTGTACACGTCCGATGACAATGTTATAATTAAACTAAATTTAAGCCTTGTCAGGTATATACTAATGCCTAGTCAGGTAAAACATGTGTTCTGTAATAATTGTTGTATCTTTCACACCATGTTTTAAGCAAATAAAATTTCATTTCATTTCATTTCAAGATGCTGGTGCTATTTTCAAATATTCGTAAAGCACTTGCTATGGAGGTGACATCGAGTATAATTATATACTCGATGGGAGGTGATAAAAAATATCGAAATCAGTATACGAAAAAAATGTCGAATGTTATATATCGAGTTTAAAAATATCGACGGTATATATCGATTATTCAATGAAAAAATATCGATAATTGATTTATTTACTCTACAATTAATTAAAAAGTACAGTGGAGTGGAATTGAGTTACACATCCTACCCTACTCGTCCGTCCATGCCAGAGTATAGTGTTCTATGTACCAAGACTTGGCTATATGGTGTAAAACCTTTGCCTTTTCCTTTATGGAAAGAAGAAAAAAAAAGTATAGTGTTCTGTGGTCCATGTGTCAACGTGAATTTAGGTTATAATTATTGTTTTTGTTAAAAAAAAACTCTAAATGAAGTTTTATAAATTGTAACATACTTTAAAATTAAACAATATACTAAGCCGTACACTGAGAAATAGTTATCACCGAGATGTGGCGTCGATATTTGTTGTGGTTTGCTCATGAACATGTTGACTTCCGACATGCTGTGAGTTCATATAACTTTTTAATATTCCTCTTTTATACGGTACTATAAAGCGATTTGTAAAACTAATTTCTTCCTTTTCTTCAGGAGATGCAAAGTATTCTGTCAATGTTTGATATACCCATAAAATTTATAGAAAATCCGTGCATCAACAAACCGTATTGGATAGTGGAGTTACCATCAGAAGAATGGGCGAGAAAGATTGCTTCTAGGTCTGTACTGTTAAAAAACTGCATAGAACTGTGGGCTCGAGCTAAGACTGAGTCTCAGCTTCATATTAACTTGAAGAATGCATTATTAAACAAGACAAATAAGTGGATAATACCTGAAAGTAATGGTAATCTTAGTAGTGATTGTGATTTATGTCCGAATGATTTAATACAAACATGCTGTTCTGTTGACAAATCTTACAAAGTTGTTGTTGAAACATTTTGCAAACATTTCACTATGAAGGAGAAAGTAGAGAAAATTGAGGTAAGCACCTTTTGACTCAACTGTGCAATACCAACACTCGAATTGAGAGTTGAAATTAATATGGTGTAATAGACTACATAGTTAGTCGTCTAATCCTAAAATATTAACTTACAGAAACTCGTAGTTTTGATAATAAAAATTATTGAAATTATCGAAAATGAATGACAGGTAACAAGTTTTGTAAGTTAAGAATGCATGGCGTTTGGTTGTCTTGGCAAAATTTTAGAAATAATGCATAATAAATATTTTCGAAAAAAAAATATGGAAGGACGAAAAGCATTTAGTTTGTGTTTCCAAACTAGTTTTCAAGTCAGATTTTACATTTTTGCTAGATTTTTATATGAAATTTACTTTCTCATATATCTCAAAAAGGGGTTCGTAACACCCCGCTCACAGGGGGGCTAAGGGGGTAAAGTAAACCATTAAATTCGAGTGTTGGTATTGTACAGTCCTACACACCTTTCTGTGGACTTATTATGTTTATGTTCCGTATTATGTTCTATAAATTATAAGCAAGGTATAACATTGCGGAGCATTGGAACAAATACTGCTAAGTAACATTTTGACTTATTCGTTTATTTCAATGCCAAATGGTGGGTTTCATTTCGTTCTTGTGGAATAATTTATCAAACCTGACTAGCAACTGCTAAGTCTGCTTTAAAAAGACGTTTCAAATGCGTGGATCTGAACACGACAAGTTCAATCAATGAGACTAGATGAAATTAGAATCAAAATTTATTGGGTGTATCAGTTTTTGTTCCGAAGGTCTAAGAAGTAGTAATGTCCCATGCGTGACTCTGGTAGGCGCAGTCTCTTGTTAAAAAAATATCTATTGTATAATTTACAAAAAAAAACATTTTTTGTACATATACATATTCACAATTTTATGTAGTAACAAACAATGCAGTGATTAGTGTACGGAACTTTGAATATTACTAATACTAATCATTTGAATGGGCAAATCATTTGCCTAAAATAATCTAAGCACATTCATTAGACTCGTGTCGAATTATTTTTGATACCAAATGCTCCTGCCATTTTGTCAGGTGCATGAGTCAAATGATTATTACATTTACCATGTCCATATCAAAATATCCTTGCCCCTGTCAAATTTATGATATTTATCATATGTTAGTGAGGGTTAGGCAGGTAGTTAGGGTTATGGAATCTGTGGATTAGTAATACTAATAAGAATGAATGATCAGTCAGATGCTTTGAATACGAAAATAAGTAGGTTACTAATTTGCCATTTGAATGACAGGATTAGTAATTACTAACGAGTCAAATATCGAAATCATTCGCGTCACTGGCAGTGACATAAATTTATTTTTTTCAGAAATTTAGTTACTTACCTTTGGAGGGCCCTGTGAAGCTCAAAAACCCTGATGTGACTCTTTCCTATTTGGAGTTCTATGGAATAGACCCTAACAATGTGCCCGAGAAACCTTATGATCTCTTCTTTGGTAAATGGGTGCGTATATGAATAGCGATGAATTAAAAAATTAAGTTTATGTCATATAAGGAACCAATAATTACTGATGGTTAGTAGGATAGAATAATAGGCATTGCCTGTGGTGCCAAAGCCTAATCCACAAATTAGGGGAGAACAGGGTTCACATTCCCCATAAATTACCCACATTTCACATTATTATAATAAATAATCCATCACTTAAAAATATAACAAAGAATTAAGAAACTCAAAAAGTTATCTGTGAGTTTTAAGCAAATTATAAAATTAGATGACAAGTGGCAAGTTGTGCTGTGGAATTACCAACTGCGTGGCTTTGTTTAGCAATCGCTGATTTGGTTTTTCTTCGTACCGGGGACTGGCGTAAGCGGTAGGAAAGGTCGCATTTAACGTTTTACCAACTGGTAATTTTACAATCAGAACCAAGGTGATCTGATTCTTCCGTATTGTTCTATGTAAGGGACTTGCTAATAATTCTACATTGTTTATGTTGGTATGTAAGTGGGAGTGTGCCATATTGAAATATATCGATCCCCAATTGACTTGGAATTCTGCGCAATTTGGGGAATTCCCCACAAATTGGCAACGCCGGGCAAATGTAGCACCGTTGGCTGTAGTATTACAAATATAGTATTTACATTTTGCCATTATTGTTATGTAAAATCAAGAAGATTAAGATATTATCTTTTCCCAACAAGTTCAATTATCAATTAAACTTGAATATAACACCACCACACTAAGCAAGTATTAGTCTGTATGAGTTTAGTTTGGCCTGGAATTTTTCCAGGAGAATTCCCTGGAATATTTCTGGAAAAATAAACTCCCGGAAATTCCCGGAAAAAATCCGCACTTATCGATTATTGATGGCAGACACTGTAATACTTACCATCGTTATGAAAGGATTTGCCAATCGGCGTCACTTACTCTCGATTGTTGCCCAAAATTGGCCAGCCAGGAAAGGTATGGTACATCGTGCGAGGAGACTCGTGTACTACAAATTCTGCACTGAATAATAACGAAAGTCTTAAAATCTATATTCTCTTTCTATATCATCGACTATATAATCAGAAATAGAGACGAAATGTTATTTAATTTGTTTGAAAACTTTTCTGCCAAATCATTATGGTGACAACTGCGCTCCAATTGGCCAATTGTTTCACTTCAATTCGACCAGTTTAACTTGAGCTTTGCTATAGTGGACGAAAATTGAAAAATTACATATTTAATTACCCATGGAGTGTTTAAAAGTGATTCCATTTGTTTTGTAACTAGGTATTTTGCTATTTTTTCCACACCATCGAATGGAACAGCCCCCTATAGTTAGAGATATTATCTTTATTACAATAAATACAGAATATTTTTGGAATATACGGCGACATACACACAGGTCAGTTGTTGGCGCTGTACTATTTAAGCTTTCTGATTTGTGATTTCAGTGCAAATGAGAGTTGATATTTAAAAGTGATATAAGGCCCATTTGCCTGATGAGTTGCCAGGGATGCATGGATGGCCCTTATTTCGTCTGTATTTCTGGTTATATACTGCACAGATGCTACGCCCACATTTCTACATAATAGTCAATGTAGGTCATTAGCGTGACCATTTATAGTTCAAGAAATATTATTTGCACCGAAGAACATTACAATAGGGTATTAAAACCATTAACACTTTTTTTACTTAAAATGTACATGGACTTAATGATCTTGAACCATTCTATGAGTCATGGGTGCGTTCAATGCTTTTTCTGAATTTTAGTTTTGAATTATTTATTTACTTATCAGGTCGTTTTTTTTAAACTACTATTACGTACTTCGTAAAATACCGACTGCCGAATATTTGCTTACTAATTTCACATAGTTAGTTTCGCATAAAGATTACCAATTAAGTGCCAATGCGTAAAAATATTTAAATTAGTTGTTTTGTCACTATACAGAATAGATGTCACGTGGGTTACCGAGACTGCTCACTCTTTTGTTTTATTGTATTCTAAAGATAAAAGCGATAAGATGAATCGGTGCAAATAATATTTTGCCAACTATACCTGTGAAGATTAACTCAGCTAAATAATAATCCACAGGTTGCCGATGGTCAACGTGACCTAATTCAAATACACTCCTTGAAGAAGCGACAGTTCATCGGAAACACAAGTATGGACGCGCAACTATCGTTGATAATGGCCAACCAAGCCCAAGTGAACTGTGGAGATATAGTACTGGACCCGTTTGTTGGTTCGGGGTCATTGCTTGTTGCTGCTGCACATTTTGGAGGTAAAATTAGAAGGTTAATAAAATCAAAATGCAATTTAATTCAAGCTCAATCATTATTATTTTACACTGAAACAGTCATATAATCCTCATTCTAAAGACAGATTTAAATAAGATTTGGCATGCTCTGGAAAAGGACTTTGAATGGATGTACTTTAAACTGCCTCCTTGGTCGAACGTTTACCGTGCTGGACTTCGATTCCCGGGCCGGGAGAAATATTTGTGTAGCTTACATTTATTTCTGTCGAGAGTTTGGGTGTAATTTGTGGTTGATTACGTGTGTTCATGGCATCGCGATGTGTCCGGCTTCCCTAGTGCAAGGCTTTAAAAAAAAATTATAAGGTTCAGGAAGAAGTTCCGAAAATGTACAAGATTTCACATTGTATGCTGAATGTTATATTAACTTTCGAGTTTTGACAGAGGTTATGAGTGGAAATACTAATAAAATTAAAGTGTGGCTAGTTTAGACAAGAGTCTTGGAGAGGCCTTACTAATAAACTCAAGGGGTGGCTAATTTAGACACAGTCTAGGAATGGCCTTAGGAATGGTCTTTCTTAGATCAAGATACAAGTTATCAGGTGATTTGTATATCAGAAACCTGGTTATCTAATCACAAATTAGAAATGGTAAACATTCCGGGATATAAAATCGCAGCATCATACTGTCGCAAAACTAGAGCTGGCGGAGGAGTCTGCATCTTGATACTAGAGACCATAGAATGTGTTGAAGTCAGAGAGGTTGCTGAAATGTCTGTCGAATATGTGATAGAAGTGTGTGCGACCGTATTACCTAAAGACAATTATTTAATAGTTATTATTTACTGGAATAAGAGAGAGGAAGACGTTTTTTATTCACAATTACGAAAAATATTAAAATTTATTAACAAAAAATATTGCAAATACAATATTGTACTAGGCGGAGATTTTAATATTAATATGTTAAAAAATAGTCCAAAGAGAAACCAATTTTTAAATTTAATGACCGAAAATAATCTCACGCAACACATTGTAACATCTACACACATAACACACACATCTTCCACTTGCCTAGATTTAATATTCACAAACTGCGTTAAACATAAAATTTTAGCATCTGTTCAAGAATTGGGATTCTCTGACCACGCGGGCACAATAATACTTATCAAATCTTTTTTACAAACTATAAACCCCCCCACTTGGTACACTATAAAACGCGTCTACAAGCCCGCTAATATAAATAAATTTAAATCCCTATTGTGTCAAGTAGACTGGAGTCAAATATTAAAACCAAGTAATAGTATAAACAAAAACTATACTAAATTCCATGACAAACTAACAGATATTCTTAATGCATGTATTCCAAAAGAAAAAATTAAATTAAAATCAAAATACAAAAAATACTGGCTTACCCGCGGTATTAAATTGTCATGTAAAAACAAGCGAATGCTAAAAATGCTTATGCTAAAGTCAAAAAATAAAATTTTAACAAATTACTATAAAAAATATGAAAAATTATTAAAGAAAGCCGTAAACACTGCAAAAAAAATTCACTATAAAAATAAAATTCAAAAGTCGACAAATAAATCAAAAACTATGTGGAGCATTGTAAATGAACGTACCAACAAGAAAAATAAAAATGAAAAACAAAACATAACATTAAATATAAACAATATTACTGTCACTGACCCGAACTTAGTTGCAAATGCTTTCAATAATTTCTTCGCATCTATCAGTGAAGGTTGTACCGGAGTACCTACCGGCCGCCCTACGATCAATCCCGTTGAAAACACAATATTTTTAAACCCTGTAGATAGTCAAAAAATATACAATATCTTAATAAAAATGAAAAATAAAATAAGTTTCGGTATTGACGAGTTTCCACCATTGTTATTTAAGCAATGCGCCTCTGAACTGGCATCGCCACTTAGCCTACTTATTAACCAATCTTTTAACGAAGGAACATACCTCGACATGTTAAAAAAAGCTATTATTAAACCTATACACAAAAAGAATCAAAAAACAGATCTTAACAACTATCGTCCAATAGCTCTCTTACCTACAGCGTCAAAAATATTTGAAAAAGCAATGTATGATTGCGTATACAAATTCTGCGAAAAATTTAAAGTTTTTGATAACTGTCAAAATGGTTTTCGCAAGAATAGATCCACGGTTTTAGCAATATATAAATATGTACAAGAAATACTTAATATTATAAACAACAAAAAATACGCAATCGGTGTCTTGCTCGACATGACGAAAGCGTACGACAAAGTGCAATTTAACATCCTATTGAAAAAACTATACGATGTAGGCATTCGAGGAAAGGCACATGATTGGTTTAGGTCCTTTTTATGTGATCGAGAGCATTTCGTAACTGTGGAATACTTCAACTTAAACACTAAAGAAATAACACATGTAAGATCAAATGGCAAAACCATCAACGCCTCGATCCCGCAAGGCAGTGTCATTTCGTGTTTGTTATTCCTCATTTATATAAACGAGCTACCAAAAATAGTACACGATCATTGTATATTGTTTGCTGACGATATTTCTCTCCTTCTCTCGTGCAATGACGATTCCAATTTAAACAACAGACTGCATTCCATATTTAATTTAATAGATAACTGGATGATAGACCACAACCTCGAAATTAACTTTAAAAAAACAAAAATAATCACTTTCTACCCACACCAAAAAAGGCCTTTAAATATTGAATTTACTTACGGAAACAAAAACATAGAAACTGTGAATGAAGTTAATTTGCTTGGTCTGGAAACTTAAATCCAAATTCTCCAGCTTTGCATATGCGTTACGCGAAATCAAAATAACAACAGATATACACACATCACTCACTCTCTATTACGCGTACGCTTATGCATGGCTTAGCTATGGCGTTATCATGTGGGGAAATAGTACGGATGCCCATTCTCTATTTACCCTACAAAAGAAATTAATTCGTATAATTTTTAATTTACATAACACAGATAGCTGTAAATCATACTTTGCTGAACATAAAATTCTCACCCTACCATCTATCTATATTTTGGAAGCATGCAAATTTGTGAAGAAATATCCAGAGTTCTACATAAAGCGAGGAGAGACTGCCCCTGGATACAATTTACGTCACCGTGACAAATTAGCACTACCTATCTCCCGTTTAAAATTATACCATTCTGGCCCACTAGTCATGTCAATCAACATATATATCAAATTACCGACCTACATTAAATATTTAAACAAAGAAAAAGATTTTATAAAACAAATAAAAAACCTATTAGTCACAAAACAATATTATACTATACAGGAATACCTAAATGATAATATTTAAATTGTTTATATCTACATAAATAGATACCCAAACAAATACAAATAAATAAAAACATTATATTAACCTAATTAGTACATATTAATACTTAAATGCATGTTTACACGGATTATAAAATAATATACTACCGTACCTCAATAGTAATTACTGAATATTATAATTTAAAAAATTGTAATTTAAAAGAATGCCTCCCTCTCAATTGCTGTGCCCCACAGGGTCCATAAACGTTCTGTATTTATATTTTGTAACACCTTTTTATCTTTATGGAAAAGCAATAAAGTATTGAGTATTGAGTATTGGGCCTTACTATAAAAAATTCACAGGGTGGCTAGTTTAGACAAAGTCCAGAAGTGGCTATACTCAAGAAAAATCAAGCTATAACCAATAATTGACTGATGAGTGTAGATAGCAATTTTTGTCGTTAGGTTATGTATGGGGGACTGATATCGATTTCCTGATGCTCCACGGGCGTACACGGCCCACACGAGTAGGACAAAAGGTAATAATGTATGTATTACTTTCTCGCTTAACACACCTTTGCTTATACATGTATATTACACACGCATATTGCGCACGCTCAGACGGTCATAATCACACACACACACACGCACGCACTTGGTGACAATGTTATCCCTTTTACATCGAGTATATAACTAGAAATAGAGACGAAATAAGGGCCACCCATCACTGGTAACTCATTAGGTAAATGGGCCTTATGTGATTTTTATATATCAACTCTCGTTTGCACTGAAATCAGAAATTAGAAAGCTGAAATAGTACAGCGCCAACAACTGACCTGTGTGTACGTCTCCGTATATTCCAAAAATATTCTGTATTTATTGTAATAAAGATAATATCTCTAACTATGGGGGGATGTTCCATTCGGTGGTGAGGAAAAAACCGCAAAACATCTAATTACAAAACAAACGGAATCACATTTTATCGGTAATTAAATATTAAATATGTTATTTTTAAATTTTGGTCCATTATAGCAAAGCTATAGTAAATTGGTCTATTTTAAGTGAAATGGGCTGGCCAATCGGAGCGCAATTGTCACCGTGATGATTTGGCAGAACAGTTTTCAAACAAATTAAACGACATTTTGTCTATTTCTGATTATATACTCGATGCCCTTTAGGATGAATGAACGTCACTTATAATTGTCAGAGAAAAAGTTCTTTACATATTTCAATTGAGAATTTTAGATTGTATGTTTATCATGACGCTGAAATGGATTGGAATTGATGTTTAAGTTTATTTCAAATTTATGACGAGTTAATAAAACGTTGTGTATTTTGCAATACATTATAAATAAGGATGGCGAAAGCTGACCTAATAATTATGAAATCAACGAAGAGCCATGCACGGTCTTTGCTAATATAATTCTACTTTTAATTTATGCCTAGTTATCAATATATTTTTGTATATTTTTAGAAGTCGGGAATAAAGAAATTGTAAAACAATGTATTTTAGAATAAATGCAAGAACACAACGCAATTGATTCGTTCGACCATAGATTATGTAACGTTCTTGTACGCACGTTTCATTTTAAGCATGATTGAATGTTTACCTACGTAAAGTATTGGTTATTTTATAGTACACACACACAACATTAAAGCTAAAAAATACCTATTCAAATAATCAATTAAACAGTAATGACATAAAGTTAAAAAATAAAATACAATGTGACGAAAATGTTTAGACAATATTTAAATGAAAGGTAAGAAAGTTAGCAAAGGAACGTCTGTACTTTTATTAAGAGGGAGGCCTGGAGTGCCATAGCACTGGATTTACCTAGTTTACATTTTAAGTGATAACGTCTACTTTTTCTTAAATTCAGGCGCGTACAAAAGAAGAGAGCATACGCAATAACATGAGGCAGTATGATATTCAATCAAAGTACCTGGATGTCGTGGTCAGTGATTTCTCACTATCTATGTGGAAGAAAAACGCAGTTTTCGACGCTATTATTACTGATCGTGAGTACATCCCATATAGGGTGATAAAAAAACCATTGACCATTTTAAAGGAGCAACTGTATAATGGAAATAAAAAATACGTATTCGGTTTTTTTTTTCAAATAAAAAAGTTATGACGTCTCAAAGTTTTCCGAAAAATTGAGAATAATATTGATACCCGATAATTAGCAGACGCCGTTGCTATATCAACAAGAACGGTGTGGGGGGCAGTGGGCGGAGTCAGCGCGCGAATTCACGTATTTGACAGACAACAAAGTGTTAAACTAACGCGCGATGTGTTAGGGCAAGTCTGTCGTCGTGCTGGCGCCTAGGCGTCTAGACAACTCGGCGCCCACAGACGTATATCTAGATAGACGCCGCAAGTGTACGTACTTCGCGTGCCTACAGTAAGTGAAATTCACTTACTTGCCGCTGCTACACTCCAGAACGCGCTCGACCGTTATCGCAGATAAACACAAGTCGAAAACGCGAAAAAAAAACTGCCTCCGTGGCCGAACGGTTACCATGCCGGACTGCCACGCAGAGGTCCCAGGTTCGATTCCCGGGCCGGGCGAAATATTTGTATGACCTACATTTATTTCTCTCGTGAGTTTGGGTGTAATTTGTGGTTGTCTATGTGTGTGTCCATGGCACCCGCGACACAGGGTTTCCCTAGTGCGGGGCTATGTTGAGTGTGAGCGTTACTATGTTGAGTGTGAGCGTTATTAAAATCCATAATTGTGCCATTATACACTGCAAAAGCACCATAACTGTGGGTAAACAGGGACGTTTCCTTCCTTGGCAAGTGATTTTGTAATCAGAATTTATTTCAAAAAGAATTATTTTGGTTTTGAATGAATTTCGAGAAAACAAATATGCAACCGAGTGTATGCCTCATTTTTTGTAATACATTGTGGCTTTTACTTGGTGCGATATATTTGTGATCCTTTGTTAATACGTCATGAATATCGAACGCACTTATGTATAATGCATTCAGTTTCGTGGTACGGCCGCTTGTACATTTCTGTGGCCAAATTTAATATTTAGTGATGTATACGTTAGGCAACACTGTTCTCGATTCTGATCTCGATTTTGAAAACAAAGGGACGAAAATTATTATGACCTTAGCAATATTATAAAAATATTCTATAACACTTTTGTTATAACCACAGACATATATCTAGATAGACGCCGCAAGTACAGCAATTTGTATGAAAACCAAGCGTGCCACATTTTTTGTACCCACTGTGACGTCACAAGACTCCTTCCGCTAGCTCTAAATCGATTGGTTGAATGGAATACGCGTAAACACGCTTCTAAATAGAATAATTTTTGTTCAAGTATTTGTTGGTTACAAGTACTTAGTCGTAATATTAATATAGTAGAAAAATACTAGAATAGGATAGTTTAGTCCTTTTTTTACTTGTTTTTAAAAAAATGTTGATTACTTAAAAAAAAGAAAGACTAATTTCAAAATTATTGTCCTTTCAGTAAAATGAGCTTATATATATAATATTTTTTTGTAATAGAAGATTTTATTGATTAACTTAACCCGTTATGTACTAGCGTTTCCATATGGCAACACGGTATTAAAAAAAATAAAAATGATATAAAACAACAACTTTTATTATCTATTTCGTTTTAATGTGTATCCAAGCACATTTACGAATTAAAAAAATATAATGTAACTTTAATTTTTTTGTTATTTTGTTGGTATTTAAAACTTTGTTGGAAAAGTCGGAGAAATGGCACACCAAAAATTGTAAGTAAGGTTTTCTTTTATTATTAATATGTTAGTGTTATAATTTATAAACATATTATTTTTGTCACCTTTGACATACAGTAGCGTAAGAAATAAAAACACAAAATTGTTAAAAATTACATACATTATTACAGTTTCATTACCGTTGCCATTTGGCAACGCTAGTCCGTATGAAGTACGTTTTTTCACAATTTTACTCTGGTTACCGTTTGACTTTGGCTAAAATAGTCGATCAACTTGAAACAGTGAAGATGTCCACATTCCAGACGTGTACGTAGAACCATCGGATGCCGCAGACTTTACCAACATTTTGCGAGTGAAGACGAGGACTCTACGTGGAAACCCTATCAGGTCGACGGTACGGGTGTTGATGATATATTATACGGAATACTCTGGTGTATAACAATTACAGGTTTGGGATTCGTGTAAAAAATGGTCGTGGCCGATGTTCACGTGGTTCGTAGATGTACCTATAAATAACTTTTGGATCTTGATGAAGATGTCTGGCAAAAATGTATCACATTTAGATTTCCGGAAAGAAATCGCTAAAACTTATCTGAAGAATATGGCATTACACCCGAGATTGGAGGACGTCCTTTTTGGGGGAAAGTTTTGCCAGGGCTGCGATATGATGGTGAAAATCATTTCCTCAAACAAACAGAGAAGAAAAGAAGATGTGCGGGAGAGGGTTGCAAAACAATAAGTAGAGTAATTTGTACTAAATGTAATATGGGTTTATGTCCCAAATGTCTTGAAACATACAATTTTTTTGCTGCCATTACATGCTTTTTATTTATTACCCAACTGCCGCTAAGAGTTATACGTAATGTATGGATGTAATGTTTGTATGGAGCTAGGCTGCCATCTACTACAAACAATGACTAAGTAGTAAACCAACCTATACTAGAATTTGATATTTTGTACTCACTTTGGCCTAGTGTTGCCATATATGACAAAAGGTCTAAACTAAAAAACGACAAAAAATAAAATTTTATTTCATATTTTTTTATACACACAAAATAACAAATTTAGCCTGATTTCAAAATTCCAAGAAAATTTGTAAACATTTAAAACTCAGTCTCTAAAGGGTGTTTTTTTTTTCAGTTTTGTATTATCTATTATCAGTAGTATCTGTAATTTCGATAATTTTTGCAGCACGTTGCCTCGAATGTCCGAATATAGTGAGCAAATAATTACATACTTCGCCGGATATGTAGTACAAGTAATACAAAAAATATATAATGCAAAGAATTAACAGTGCGCTGTCGTTACAAAAACCTGGAGTTGGTCATATGTATGAGTTCGTTGCTTTCGAGGACGACAGTGGTCTAGTTTATTCCACCTAATATCCTACCCAAATATGCAGAATAGCAGAGTTAGAAATCCGGGAAATAATAAACAAATTTCACACGAGGCCGTCATTAAGTAAACCTCTTCTGATTAATAAGATTTTACCATATTTTGTCAACAATAACATTTTCGTTTGTCTTGCCATTAAGCAATTTGATCAATTACCAACAGAAAACCATCTAGTAAAATTAATTAAGGCAGTCGCAAGTTCATTATATTGACGTGCGTTTTCTATCGATAAGATTTTCTATTACAGTAAGATGTTATATAATAAGCTCATTTTAATGGAAGGACAATAATTTTAATATTTGAAGTCGGTTAAAAATTAGTCTTAATTTTTTTTAAGTAATCAACATTTTTTTAAAAGAAGTAAAATAAAGGACTTAACTATCTTATTCTAGTATTTTTCTACTATATTATTATTACGACTACTTGCAATCAACAAATACTTCAACAAAAATTAAACGAGCGCAAGGAGGTTTCCATCACTAAATAGCGCTTGTGACGTCATAGTGGGTACCAAAAATGTGGCACGCTTGGTTTTCATACAAATTGCTGTACTTGCGGCGTCTATCTAGATATATGTCAGTGTCGGCGCCGATCGCTCAATTTCATTTACTATTTAGAGTTAAGCATGCGTTAGAAATTATTGGGAAATATTAACATTAAAAAAATGGGGAACTTTTTTTGTTTTATTTCACTAATGTGTTCTATTACTGAATGTTACAGAAAAAGAAATGGCCAGTGATTTTTTTATCAAGGGTTATTCGTAAAATACTATCAACCTCTCAGGCTATAATAAGCGCAGGCCACATCACGAACGAAGCTAAGCTAACTTATCTTAGCTCACGTAGCTGGGGCATCTTTTCATACCAGGAACTAAGGGTCGTATTCTAGAACTCTACTCAATGCTTAAGTCAGGACTTGAGTATGAAGCACTAGAAATCATACTCAAGTCCCTGCCATTAGGGTCGTATTTCCAGTGCTTGTGTTGCCAGTGTAATCCTGACTTGAGCATTGAATAGAGTTCTAGAATACGACCCTAAGATAATCGAGCTAACTAAACTAACCCAACGATCCCGCTAAACTATGTAAAACATGTCGCCCTTCTCCCCCGCACGTATCCATAGTGTAGCACGTTACTACTTACTATGTATTTTTAACCGACTTTAAAAAAGGAGGTACTCAATTCGACTGTATGTTTTTTTATGTATGTTACGCGATAACTTTTTGTGAACCGATTTTGATTATTCTTTTTTAGTTGGAAATAAGGTACCTCAGTATTCGTCCCATTTAAATTTGAAGAAAATATTCCACCTCTAAAGGTGGCAAACTAGGGGATGTTTCGCGCACTTTCCGGTAATCGAATTCAATAAAACTTGGCAAATATGTAGATGTAATCCCATGAACTTTTGAGGTCGATTTATTTAGTACTCTGTGCTGAGATTATCTTAGCTTTGCATGCAACCACGTGAGCTAAGCTAAGTTAGCTGTAAAGGTGTCTAACTGGGTGATGAAATACTTTCATAGATTTCTCATAGATGGCGCTACAGCTAAATAGTCGTTGAAAAACCAAATGCGAAGATACAACAAGCACATAGAAAAATTCGTGAGGTCCTCTGGATCGTTCCGTGGCTTAGTTGGAATAACACGGTATGCTAGAAGACGTCGGTTCGAATCCAGATTTTTTTCTGAGTGTTCGATCTTTGTATTAATAATTATAACAAACTAGTGGAGTGATTTCACATAAAAAATAATTGAATATCAATTCAATAAAAAAAATAAGTTCGCTTCGTTCGCAGTGTGGCCTGCGCTTAACTAACATGATAAACAATAATTTTTGTTTTAGGTGTGCTTTATTAAACTTTGATATTTCTAAATTTTAGCCCCATACGGTGTCCGAGAACCAATGGAAAAGATAGGCATAGATCGGGAGAACTACACTCTCACAGAAGAGCACCTCGCCAACCACGTACCGTCCAAGATTGATTATGGCCTGACAAATCTCTACACCGACCTTTTGTCTTTCGCCGCCCGCCATTTGAACATTGGAAGACGACTTATTACTTGGTATCCCTTAGTTAGGTACGTGCAAACATTATTTTTTAATACTAATTGGCGGGATGAACATATGGCGCGCCTAGTGGTAAACGAGTGGTCTCTTCATAACAGTTGCAGTGTCGCAAAGATCTGAGGGGCATTGTCACTGCGCCCGTCACTCTTGAGACAAGTTAACAAGTTCCATGAGACTGTAATTTCACCAGGACCCTTACCCTTATACTGCTTTGCGGTAGAAATAGGTAAGGTGGCAGTACTTCCTTGGACGAACTCTTTCACAAGGAGCTCTACTGCTACGAAACAACATAACATAAATGACAAATAATCGTAACATTTTTATTAAAAAAAAAACCATCTCAAAAGTTCGTGGAAGTACACCCAAGTTTCATTGAAATCGGTTACCGGAAAGTGGGCGAAACTGGATTTATCCCCTAGTTTGCGACCCTTAGAGGTTTTATTTTTGTGAAGGATATTTTGCAGTTTGGCCGCTGATGGCCTTGACTGCGCCACCGGATTATAGGGCGAGCTGAAGGCTCATAACCCGTAAATAAAGTTAAACTAAGTAACGGGCCTGAGGGCGCCCAAGAGGGCACGGACCTTGGCTCAGGGCGCTACTGGACACTTCCGCCAGAAGGGCGTGCTATAGCGGAGAATCTACCAGTGTACGTGCTGAGATGAGGGGCTCTACGACCTCGCCGGCGAGGACGGTTGGTGCGTGATGAGATGGACTGATTAGCGATCTGGTTGGCCTTCAAAGTGGCGAGAGTGATAGGGTCGTCAGGGTCGTTGAGGACTTCCCTTGGCCGACGGGTCCTATGTACGCGGTGGGGGTATTCCCTGAGGGGGTCCTAGTTGGATGCAGCCACCATGACGGGGTTGGGGTGGTGAGGAGCAGAGTCGAAGTATTTCCTCGATGCCTGTTTCATGAATCACAAATGGGCTATTGTGGGGAGCCGTAAATCTATGTGGAGGTTAGCGTTGCGCAGGTACCACAGGGCACCCGTCACGTTGCGCATGAATGTATTTTGGAGAGCCTGCAAGCGGTGTATAAGCGCGGGATTTGCCTGAGCGAATGCGACGCTGGCGTACGTCATGATGCAGGTCGTATACAATCTCACCTTATTACGAAAGGAGAGTTTGCTATGCTTGTTGAGAAGGGGGTGAAGCCGGCTCATAAGAAAGTGGGCGCGATCGCGGACGGTTTTCACGTGTGCTTTGAATGACAGCTACATATCGAGCGTAACTCCTAATTATTTGACCGTGTTCACCCAAGGGATTAGGCGGCCAAAGAGCGAGATCGGGGTGAGGTTCTGTACCCTACAACTGGATAGGTTACTTCGCGTGAAGAATACCGCCGCGCTTTTGTCGGGATTGGCTTCGATTCTCCACCTGTGAAACCACTTGCCTAGGCGTGTGGTGGCAGATTGGAGAGCCGCGGAAACTAACTTGGAGCTTCGCGCCGAATAATAGAGCGCAGTGTCGTCGGCAAAGAGGGCGAGATTTACTGACTGATACTTCGGGATATCGCTGGTGTACAGGGAGAATAGGAGGGGCGAGAGGACAGAGCCTTGCGGGACTCCAGCTCTTACGGGGTGAGGGGAGGAGAGAGCGCCCTCGACTCGGTAGCGGAAAGAGCGATACGACAAGAAGTCTCGAATGATGTGCACGAGACGATCAGGCACGCCGAGATTGTACAGCTTGTAAAGTAAGCCGTTGTGCCAGACTTTGTCGAAGGCTTTTACCACATCGAAGGAGAGGGCGCCGGTGGGCATGAAGCGGGGGCGATCGAAACCTTCGGAGATATGCTCCACTATCCGGTGCACTTGCTGGACGCATGAGCGCCTAGCTCTAAAGCCAAACTGTTCGTCGGGGAGGAGATTGTGGGACATGACGTGGTCTCTCAGGCGGGCGTAGAGGATGCGCTCATAGAGTTTGCCCATGGTGTTAAGCAGGGAGATGGGACGGTAACTGGAGGGTTCAGATGGAGGTTTCCCGGGTGTGTGAATACCGATGACCATCGCCTCTTTCCCTTCACTTTTGCGGAAAGGTGCAGTTGGTCAGAGCGGCGTTAAAAATTGCAGTCATGAGACAGATGAGGGGTGCAAAAAGCTGTTTAAGCACCTTGTTGGAGATACCTTCAGAGCCTGGGGCTTTGCGGGGCTTAAGGTCCTTTATGAGCGATTCTACTTCCTTTGGGGTGACCGGGGGAGAGGAGGGTCGGAGGGCGGCAGGGTTGCTCTGAGTTCGATCTCGGAGTCCACCTGGAGGAGATGGGTCGGATCGACCGGCTCTAGACTGGGGGAGCACTGGACTTCGAGGCTGTCGGCCAAGCATTCGGCCTTTTCCTCGTCGTGAAATGTTGGGGTGCGGTTGGGGGGAGGCATTTGGGCAACCGTGCCGGACTTGAGGGACAGGGTTAGTTGCCAGCAGGCTTGTTGGGTGGGCTTGAGCCCTTCTAGGAGCTTTTCCCATCGACTTTGACGTACCTCGTCCATACGCGTCTTTACGTCCCTCTGTAAAGCCCCCAGGAAACGGCGGTTTTCGTCGGTGGGGTAAGAGTCGTAGGCACGAGTGGCTGCGTTCTTTTCCGTTAGAAGGGCACGCACATCCTCCAGTAGGTTCCAGCGACAGTCGTCAGTCGCCGGTGCCGGCCAGGAGCTGTTACAAACGGCGGTTTGTATGTGTCCCTCTAGACGGACAATAGCACAGCTGGCGTCTACGATTGAAGAAATCTCGTCCGGAGTCTGAACTAGGAAATTCAGAAATAAAATAGAAAGAAAAAAGAAAATAGGGAATTCAGACTCGAGGAAATTGAGGTCATGACTCAACTTCCCACAGTCCAACACCGATTTAACGGGGGCGCAAGGGTCAGGGGGGCTATGTCCGAACGAGGGGAGAGGTGAAGGCGGACGGGGCGGTGATCCGAAACTAATTCATGAACGACCTGGATTGAGTCTAATCTAAGGTTAATATTTTTGAATAATGCTACGTCTAGGATGTCGGGGCGGAATTTACGTTATGCGGATAGTGAGTGGGCTCTAAGGGTGCAATTATATCGTAATCCATGGATTCGGATAGCGTCATGAGAGTGTTACCGCGCGTGTTGGTGGTGTTACAGTTCCATGCAGTATTTTCGGCATTAAGGTCGCCAGTCAGAATTACAGAATCTCCTAGGGACAAGAGGGCTTGCAGATCTTCGCGAATTAGCGATCGGGAAGTATCAGGGGATAGGTAGGCCGAAATGAGGGTGGAAATGAGGGTGATCGGTGGGTGCCACTCCGTGCCGGTGAAGCCGAGGGGTAGGGCGTTGGGCAGAAGGCGCAGGGGCGTTGGCGCGAGGGATTACCCGTGGCGATTGGGGCGATAGTGGGGCTATGAGAGCAGGGCTGATGGCCGGGAAGTCGCGGATGGACATAAGGGGCTGCAGTTGTGCCCTAGCCTGCTGATAGGCTGCAGTGCGCGCCGCCACCTTGTGGTTAGGGCGGGGGGCCTTAGTACAGCCGCGATAGTTCGCGGTGTGGGACTCCCCGCACAGAACGCACATAATAACGCACACACTCAACATAGCCCCGCACTAGGGAAACGTGTGTCGCGGGTGCCATGGATACACACATAGACAACCACAAATTACACCCAAACTCACGAGAGAAATAAATGTAGGCCATACACATATTTTTCCCGGCCTGGGAATCGAACCCAGGACTTCTGCATGGCAGTCCGGCACGGTAACCGTTCGGCCACGGAGGCAGTCAAAAAAAAAAAAAGAACAGACCGAAAAGGCTCGATGCACTGGGACTAGGCCTAGGCCAGGGTGGGGTCGCGTGGTTGTCTGCGCATTTTACGCAGCGACCCTTAGAGGTGGAACGCGCTACTTTTTTTTTTTACTTTTTTACTACGTTAGAGGTAGCGCGTTCTATTTCGATCCCAACGCCATCTAGCGACAAAGAGAGGTTACTAGTGTTTATTGTACGTGGTGTTACAGTCTTCAATTGTATAATAAATCGCTTTTATTCGTCAAATATTTTCTAAAACTTTTCAAGAACAATTTGTTATTTGCTTCATTTTTTATATATATTATTTACAGAGAAGAATACAAAGAGGAACACCTTCCCTCGCATCCGTGTCTACGTCTGATAGCTAACTCCGAGCAAGTGTTGTCGAAGCTCACTGCGCGACGGCTCCTCACGTACGAAAAGATCAACGCTGATGTTTCGCACGTGCCTATCGAACCACACGCTCACACACATAATTTTAGGTAATAAATAGCTCTGTCCGAGCCACTAAAAAAATAAAGGTCACAAGAGATTTGCTTGAGGGTCGAACACAACGGCGACCAGCATTTTGTCACGTCATATCATAGGTTTTATTGTTTTCAGAGAAAAGTTATTTGCAATGGGAGAAATTACAAGGAAGGAGCGAAAGGAAAAGCGAGCGGAAGAAATGGCCAACGAACAGGCCAGAGCGTTGAGGAAAATTGACGTAACTTGATCGTTCTGAACATTCACTATATAGAGTACAAATATAATTAATTGTTTAAGCGAAACTAAATTTGAGTTTTATTACATTCTAAGTATCACACGGATAGCTGCGTGCATAACGGTAGTGCCATATCGACCCCACCTACGTAAAGTATCGTATGTCGAAATTGCCAACTTTACAGGGGAGCGTTTTAAAGTTCTGAATTCACTGATATAAGCATAAGACTTGACTAGCATTTATCAATTTTATTTGGCCAAGCTCGTACTCAGATAGAGTATTATAAAATCCTAGATATCTTAGATGATCCCTGTGTGTGTGAGTAACGAGCTTTGCCGAATGAAACTGAGAAATGCTAAAGTCACGTGTTATGTTTATTTCAGTGAATTCAGAAACGCTCCCCTGTAAACTTGGCAATTTCGACATACGATACTTTACGTAGGAGGGGTCGATTTATTTAGTTGAATAATTTGAAGAAAATATAGAATTTGTGATGGGTGTTGTGACAAGTCACTTTACTTTTCGTGGCTTTGAAAAGTTAATGAACAAAATTATTTATTATGTTTCGGGCACAGAACATTAGTGCAGAAAAAACAAGATTACGAATGAAATCGTGCTATGGGTAGAACAATTGGTCATATTATGGCGCGTTCCCATTGTGTCGCAACGACAGATAGTCGTGCAGTGTAAAGTGCCGTGGCTTGTTTATTTAAATGAAGTTGTTCACACACAGAACAACACGATTAACTGTCATTCACAGTTTTTTTGGGAATGGGAAGAGCTAGAACGACCATAGATATAGAAAGAAAAAAAGGGGAGATATGTAATGACGCTATGTAAGATCGGGTGCCGATGTTGCCACTTTAGCTTGTGTGCAATTCAAACTTACTTAACAAACTTATGTAACAGTTAAGTATGTAAAATTAGTCGCACATTTCACGGCGCGTTTTACGCCTGTAGTGGTGACGGTTGTTCGCGGTTGCCGCGGCAAGGTACTAGTACAACCGCGCAGGACGCGATGACCTGCGCGCTTGGCGGCGGTCGGTTCAGGCGCAATGTGTTGCAGGCACACGCAGGGTGAGTTCTCTATTAACCGCACGACTTGCAATTAACTCCCACTAAATTCGCGGTCCGTTCTGCAACCGCAACGGTTCCGTGCCCGCAACCGCGGCAGCTACGTGCACGCACAAACTTGCAGGGTCGTGAGTATTGAAATAAAACCGCTGTCTAGCACCGGCTAAAAACTGACGCTACTCAACGAGTGATGTGGTCCTACCATTTTTTTTTTTTTTTTTTGACGGGGGGGGAAATCTTTATGGATACCCCTGAGCCCAGGGAGACTCAGGGGTTATGTGGGGACTCTCCCTCCACACTGGAAGGCCTACCCCACTAAAACCCCCCCGGGTTTCCCTCTCGCCGGTTGAGTCGGCGCCGTGGGATCAGTGAACATTCACCACGACGCCGCCCGGCCGCCCTAGCTTGCGCCAGGGCTCCCGCGCCAACGGAGGGACGAGTCGGTTGTCCTCCGACCCGCCCCCCAGACGAGTGAGGCCGTGCAATGTAGGCTCCGGAGTCCCTGTCCAGAGCCCGCTGGTCTCACTAGGGGATCAGGCGAGCAGCGAACTGCCTTCGCCTTCTCCCCGTACGTCTGCGCCGGAGCGGGTGCGCGTCCGCCGCGTCCTCGCGCACCCGCTCCGCGGCCTCCTTTTGCGACATAACCTCTGTGCAAAAGGAGGCCATCGCCTCCCAGGACTCCTCGCTATCGAGCATGGCGGCAGCCACGCTCGGCAACGAGAGGTCCTGCCCTATAGTCCCCGTCAGAGTGCGGCGCTGCTCATCCCACCGGCTACACACCTCTAGGGTGTGCTGCGCGGTGTCATCCGCAGCGCCGCACTCGTGGCACGACGGGGACGGTTCCCTCCTCGCCACCTTGTGCAGGTAGTGGCCGAAGCAACCGTGCCCGGTCAGCACCTGCACAAGGTGGTACGACAGTGGCCCGTGGGACCGGTTTACCCACTCTACGAGGACAGGGCGAATCGCCTCTATGGTACGAGCACCATAGTGGGGATCCGCCAAGCCCTCTTTCCACCGGTCCCGCATGCGCTGCGCCGCGAGGCGGCGCTCCCGCTCCACCTCTTGGGGAGCGGGTCGCTCGCCTCGGTCCCTCATTCCCCGCCGGTAGGTGCGGACCTCAGGCTCAGGTCCGAAGCAGCATGGAGTACTGTTCGCACCTTTGGGACGGCTCTGCCAAGTACTTGCTCGATGCCCTAGATGGACTGCAGCGCTACGCCTTCCGTGTTGTCAACAATCCTCATGTAACTGAGCATGCGGAGTCGTTACAGCTTCGCAGAGATATAGCGTCTCTTAGCGTATTCTATCGCCTGTACCACGGTGAGTGCTCTGAAGAGTTATTCAACCTTATCCCTTCCTCTCCTTTCCATCAGCGGACCACCCGTGCCGGACTGCGTTGCCACAGTTGGACGGTCAGTTCAATACCGTCCCGCACTAAAAAGTTTGGCAATTCGTTCTTATGCCGAACCATCAAATTGTGGAACCAACTCCCGGCGCATGTATTCCCTCCCCTCTATAACATCGGGTCCTTCAAACGTAGTGTGAAGAAGCATTTGGCCAGACCGGCAAAATGATAGTGACGGAGTGAAGATATTTGTGTTTTCCATCCGTTACTCTCATCTCTGGACTGTATTCGCACTTTCCATCAGGCGCGGTGCAGTCATTTTGCCGAGTCACAATAAAAAAAAAAAAAAAAAAAAAAACCGCCAGGACCTCGGCTTCGAGGTCCCACGGCGGAGTACCGGCGAGGACGCATGCGGCAGCGCAGGCCACCGTCATGTACGCCCTGCACATTCGCAGGGCGACCACCCTCTGGGGCCTCCTCAGCAGCGACTTCGTCGCCGCTGATAAGGCCCCACTCCAAATGGGAGCCCCGTATAAGGCCATACTCCGGGTCACCCCGGCGTATAGCCTTCTGCATGGGGCTCCCGGCCTCCCGAGGTTGGGCAGGAGCCTGCCCAACGCCGATGCGGCGCCCACTATTCGGGGAGCAAGTTGCCGGAAATGCTCCCCGAAGTTCCATCGCCGGTCCAGGACAAGTCCCAGGTATTTCATCTGGGACTTGACCGGGACCGATACTCCCGCGATGGAGATGTGGGCGCCTGCCGGCACCGCCCAACCTCTACCCCTACCGCCGAAGACGGCCACATCCGTCTTCGGCACGGCGACCTCGAGCCCCAGCAGTTGTATTCGGCGGACCAGCATGTCCGCCGCTACTGAGGCTCTTCGGGCCGCCTCCTGGAAGATGGTCCCCCGGACGGCCACCAGCGTGTCATCGGCGTACGCGATGACCACCGTCCGGGGGAGCAGCGCGCCCCTCAGCACCCAATCGTACCCCAGGTTCCACAGTAGTGGTCCTAATACGGACCCCTGGGGTACTCCGCACCTCATTGGGCGCTCGGCGCGCCTCCCTTCCCTCGTCTGGTAGAGCACCACCCTGTCCTCCAGGTAGTGCTCCACCAGACGGCTGAGGTACCTGGGGATATTATGGTACCTCAGCGCCTCCCTGATAACGGCGAAGGGCAGAGTGCCGAAGGCGTTGGCTATGTCCAACGACACAGCCACCACGCCTTCCCCCTCGCCGTTACCCTCCTCCACGATGTGTCGCAGCGACTCCAGGGCGTCCAGGGTGGAGAGTCCAGCCCTGAACCCGTACTGCCGCTGCGACACATCGGGGCCTGTCCCCCTCAGGTGTTCGTTGATCCTGGAGGCGATGATTCGCTCCAGGATCTTCGCCACCTCGTCCATGTGGTCCTACCCTACCTAATCGATAGTTGGAAACCAAGTGGCTGTTTTTAATATAAAAAAAAAAATAAAAAAAAAATAAAAAAAATATTCCATTTTTCATACTATATCTACACTGGTACTGATGTATTATTAAATTAATATAAATTATTATTATTTACTTAATGGCAGCCACTAAGCTTGGACCAGTGTCAGTTTTATAAGAATAATATAAAAAAAAAAAAAAAAAATATGGCGATCGTCGCCAGTGTCAATTTTCCATTATACGTTACCACGGGTTGGTGAAGCTGTCAAGAGTAAACTCAAACCATCAACGAATTTAATAAATTAAATTGTTGTTTTTTTTTATGAAGGATTTATGTAATTTTCTATAATTGTTTCTAATATATTTTGCATGCACAAGTAAAATAAAGCCGATTTTATTTTATTTATTTTTAAATGCATTTGCTACGGAAATTGAAACAAAGTCAGAAATAGTAATAAGAGAACCAATCTTTCGATTTTCCTGCAGCTTCAATCCAACCTTCTTTTATTTTGAACTCATTGGAAAAACTGACAAATTAGAAATACTCTACGTTTAATCTACGAGTTTAATGGAATTTAAATATCTATATAAATGTGTTTTAAACATAAATTTTTCTTCAAGCAACAGCAACATCCAAATTGACATGAAATTGAAACGGTTGTCCGAAATATGAGTTGTGTTAAACTTACTCGAAATAAAATGTTTAGTAATATTAATAATAATAAAATAAAAGAAATCAATTTAACGTGAATGCTTTTCGATTCGATATTTTAGGGACTTTAATTACAAAAATCATAGTAAGAAATTCAAACATTTCAGTAAAAATTTATTGTCGATCAGTCTTCGTAAATGAACATCACTATATTTGAGTCTACAAATTTCTATGGAGAAAAAAAGAAAACATTGAATAACAATAGAAATAGTAACTAAAAATGCAAATAGCCGGTAGAATGTTATCTCACTGGTTTTAAAAGTTTTGTTTTCACTCCAATTTTTGCTACAACTTGGCATTTTCACGTTTTACGAGAGATCTTGTATGTACGACGATCGCCATGTCACTGTGGCAATGTTTGCAGGCGTGTCACCTCAATATGGTCATTTTGACCATATCGAGGCGACACGAACCACGCCCCCATACCATATCTCCCCTTTTTTCTATATCTATGAGAACGACAGTCGTCAGACGATAATAAAAAGTTACGATAAAAATGTGACGACAGATAATCACAGCTTCAAATGATTCTGTCGTGCAAACGACAAGGCGGTTGCCGTGAACCGATAAATTGTCGTCGCGATCCAGCGGGAACAGCAAGACAAGACTAATGGGAACAGGCTAGGCGCGATAGTCGTCCAACTACAAAATGGGAGGCTTCCCGGGCACAGTGCCCAAAAATCCCAGCGTTTCCTCATGCTCCTACACTGGTAGCACCAAAAGGACAAATATATTATTTTGCCACTAGGGAAGTCTTTTGCCAGTACCTTGTCTGAACAAGACATTTCGAGTGAAGCTTAGCAAATAATACGTTTTAACATTCCAAATGCAAGAAAACTCCCGTGTGCCAATTTTGTTTAGTTATAATTGCAAAATGTAGAAGTGATTTATTTTTATTAATTTATTTGCGGAATTACGTAATTTATAATTGGTTCTAAATATATTTATAATTATAATAGGGGTTAAAGTATGAAATTGCCGATTTGTACTGAAAATC